AAAGTAAAACATTGAGGCTGGAGAGATGGCTCAGTGGTGAAGTTGTTCTCTGTACTTAAACTGGACAACTCAAAATTGCCTGTAACTCCAGCTCCAGGAGTTATTCTGGTCTCCATGGGCACCTGGAGTACATGTGGTACACATACATACAAGAAGGCAGAACAGTCACACACATAAAATAAAAATAACTAAATCTTTTCAAAAAAAATTTTAAGCCAGGCAGCCTGGTAGACATGCTTTTAATCAGCACTGGGAGGCAGAGGCAGATTGATCTCTGTGAGATTGAGGCCAGGCTCACATAGTGAGTTCCAGGCCAGCTGGGACTACAGGAGAAGACCCTATCTCAAAAAAAAAAAAAAAAATTTAAAAAAAGCCTGTGATGTTTTAATCCCAGAATTCCAGCACCTGGGAGGCAGAGACAGGTTGGTCTCTGTGAGTTCAAGGCCACCCTGGTCTACATAGTGAGTTCTAGGTCATCTAGAGCTACAGTAAGACTCCCTCAAAAATAAATAAAAAAAAAAAAAAAAAAGTAAAGTGAGAAAAACTAAAACATTCTTTTTGATGACTCACTGAGCATATGCTTGTTAAAGAATTCAGAGTGAGGGCTGGGGGTGTAGCTCAGTAACTGAACCCTTGCCTAGCTCATAGTCCCTAGCACTAAAGTAAGATTGCATCCAGTTTCAGGCCAGCCTGGTATACAAAGCAAAACCTTGTTTTGAAAATCAAAAGCAGCTGGGCATGGTGACACACGGCTTTAATCCCAGCACTCGGGAGGCAGAGGCAGGCAGATCTCTGTGAATTCAAGGCCAGCCTGGTCTACATAGTTCCAGGCCAGCTGGGGCTATAGGGAGACCCTGTTTCAAAAAGACCAAAAAAAATCAGAAGCAGGGCTGGTATAGTTGGTTCAGCAAGGAAAGGTGTTTGCTGCCTGACAGTGCAAACCTGACAATCTGAGCTCGTTCCCTAGATTGCCAGAACCTGGGTAGAAGGAAGGAACCAACTCTACAAAGTTGCTCTCTGACTTCGACATGCACAACATGGCATACATGCTCATACACATCATATGTGGTCTCAATAACAATAAAATAAAAATAAAAATTTAAAAATATGTGTGGATACACACATTCCAATCCCAGTACCTGAGAGGTGGAAAGATCAGAATTCAAAGTCATCCTCAGCTACATAGTGAATTTAAGGCCACATTAGTCCATGTCTCAACAAACCAAAACAGAAGGGCATGATGGCCCACGCCTTTAATCCCTGCAGAGGCAAGCAGATTTCTCTGAGATTGAGGCTAGCCTGGTCTGCATAGTGAGTTCCTGGCTGACTGGGGTTACAGGAAGATCTTGGTCTCAAATAAACAAAAGCAAACAAAATTCAGATCCTAGGGAACCATACAAGAAATGGTAGGTGATTTTAAGAGATGTTTTCTTTTTTTTTTTTTTTTTTTAAAGCAGGGTCTCCCTGTAGCCCCAGATGTCCTGGAACTCACTATGTAGACCAGGCTGGTCTTGAACTCACAGAGATCTGCCTGCCTCTGCCTCCTAAGTGCTGGGACTACAGGCATGTGCCACCGCGCTTGGCATGAGATGTCATCTTTTTTAGATTTGTGTTTATCTGAAATACCCCCCCAAAACCTTTTATTCTTCTGTTGATCCTGAGGAAACACAAGTATCTGATTAAAACACACATGCCTTAAATATAGAAATTAATATAACCTAATTCTGACAGACCAGGTGTATGGCACACATGATCTAGAATGTGGTCGCCCCACTGAGCTGGGCCCAGACTTGCTCTCATAGTCATGCAAGATGACAGGGACTGCAAGAAATGTGCTCGCAGGGTGTAACTGACTGGTGGTTCCTCCGGTTAAGTAGACGTGTTCATCTATATGAATCTATTAAATGGTTCTAGGGGACTACAGAGGTGGTCCAGCAGTTAAGAACACTGGCTGCTCTTGCAGAGGACCAGGTTTCTGTTCCTAGTACCCACATGGAGGCTAACAACCATCTGTTAATTCCAGTTCCAGGGGATCCATTGCCATCTCGTGGCCTCTGAAGTCATTGCATGTGTGGGTGTGTTTACATACATGAGGGCAAAACACTCAGAAAAAAAAAAAAAAAAAATTCTGGCCGGACTTGGTAGTGTAGACTTTTAATCTTAGTACTCCAGGGTCAGGGAGAGGCAGGGGGATCTCTGTATTTTATGCCACCCTGGTTTCTATGAGCTCTAGCTAACTAGGGCTACATAGTGAGACCTTGCCTGAAAAAAAAAAGGAAGGAAAGATAGATGGATAGATTCTGGGGCCTCTGAGACAGCTCAGCAAGTAAAAATGTTTGCCACTAAGCCTAATGGCTTATGTTCAATTCCAGGGACCTACATGGTATAAATAGAAAACTGACTCCCACAAGCTGACCTCCAACCTCTACACATAAACACACACAAAATAAAATTTATAAATAAATTTTATAAATAAATATCTCTGTAGAGATAGCTTAGTACTTAAGAGCTTAGCCAAAACCCCATGTTCAGTTCTTAGCACCTGACTGGCAGCTTACAACCATCTGTAACTCCAGCTCCAAAGGCTCTGGCATACATGTGGAACATATACATAATACAGGCAAAAAGTCAAATAAAAAATAACTATTTTAATGTGATTTTTATTTTTTGTTTGTTTGCTTGTTTTTTTAGATAGTGTCTTACCATGCAGCCCTCGATGGCCTGGAACTGGCTATGTAGAACAAGCTAGCCTTGACCTCACAAGTCTCCCAATCTCTGCCTCCCAGGTGCTGAGCTGAAAGGCGTGTGCTGCCACACCCTACTGTTAATGTCATTTTTAAAAAAATTGTTCTGAACAATATTCAGGGTTTTGTCTGTATTAAACAATTTGGGAGCTGCATGAGTTTCTGTGACCACTTGGCTGTTAAAGCAGACATGGCTTGAGGGTAACTTTAGCATTTCCTTCTGTTCAGCAGTAGTTGCGGTGTCAGGAACATTGACCCATTTTCATCTTTGGACACTAACCAAGGACACTAACTACTTAATCTGATTTCTTTTTAAATATTTTATTTTCATTTTATGTGTATGACTGTATTGCCTTCATGAATGTAAGTGCATCTGTGTCGTGTAACACCTGAAGAGGTCAGAAGAGAACGTCCGATTCCCCTGGAACTGGAGTTAAAGACAGTTGTTAGCTGCCATGTGAGCACTGGGACTCAAACCTGGGTCCTCTGCAAGAGCAGCCAGCATTCTTAACCATTGAGCCCCAATCCATTTTTTTTTTTTACCCCCAACCCCCCACCCCCCAAATTCTTACTCTTTCTGGAACTGGAGAGATGGCTCAGCAGTTAAGGGTACTGACTGCTCTTGCAGAGGACCTGGGTCCTCCAAGTCCCAGCACCCACATGCAACTAACAACCATCTGTAACTCCAGTTCCAGAGGATCCAACACCTTCTTCTGACCTCTGAGGGTATTGTATGACACGGGTGAATCATAAAACATAAAACATACATGCAGGCAATACACTCCTGCACATAAAATACAAATAATAAATAACCATTTTTGAAATTGTTCTTTCAAGCCCAAAGCTATCTTTGTGTATACATGTACCAATAAGCATATTTGGGAATAAATACTAACTTCACTTGACATGAAAAACCATTGACAAACACTTGGTATTTCGAGTTCCTGGTGTGCATTTTACTCCAAATTTCATTATGTGGAAATACTTGATTGTATGATTTCTTACATTTTGATTGTAAACAGAATTGTTAGTAACAGTTCCATTAAAGAGGATTTGGAATCCCCGGATGTGCTTTATACAGTAAGAGTCATCTCAGTGTCTTCGTAAGCATCAGCTTATACATAATTCCTGTAGTCTTCATAGTGTAAAGCATGTGCTGTGGGCAGTTTGTCCTGAACACTGACTCATATAGGAATGCTCCACCCTGGATGTGAAGGGTTCTGCCCTGTGCCCTACTGCCATTTTGGAAGCACGTGGTCGGATAATTTCATAGTTGAAATTGTGTGGGGTTTTTTGTTTTGTTTTGTTTTGTTTTGTTTTGTTTTTGCATTATGCCTGCACTCAAATTTTGAAATTATTGTCTCATTTTCTTTGTAATATATGTCTTTTTATTTAGAAGTTTGCGCTATTTTGAAATTTCAGGACTTGCTGTCAGTTAATTATTAGTGAAAATAAAGTCCCTAACTGCCTTGATGGGTTTTTGTTTTGGTGATCGGCTCTATTTGTTGATTTGCTTTTTTGTTTTGATTTGTTCTGGTTTGCTTGAGACAGGATTTCTCTGTAGGCCCAGCTGGCTACATAGACTAGGCTGGCCTCAATCTCACAGAGATCTACCTACCTCTGCTTCCTGTATGCTGGGATTAAAGGCACATACCACCGCACTTCGAAGTATAGGTTTTATAGATAGGAAGACAGCTTGTCTGGCAGATGCTGTTTGTTATACATCTCATTGGAGTTTGATTATGGGTTCCTGATCCCTTGCTCTTTTCATAGAACTTAGATTTAATATTGCTTGGCATGAAAACAAAGTCCTTAGCTAACTCAATCTAGAAGAACAGTTTTTGCTGATAGCTGATGTTCAGCCTGCATTCTTTTTGCTGCCAACCTCTTCTGCCCTCCTTTGGATTATGGGAAAGACAGAGAGGTGTACACTGGCTATGAGAAGGTGGCCTCAGCTGTTCACTGCCGGCCCAGCTTTCAGTGTGTTTTCCTTTGGGATTACCTACAGTTCTAGGGTCCCTGGAGTCCCGAGTTACTTAGATGAGGAGTCTGCATGTTTTAGGCAGGTTTGAGGATTGTGAGTAGTCTTGTCTGTTTGGTGCCTGGCAGTAGGCTAAGGATGTTAGCAGGAGAACTTCCTCATTGCACACTGTGCTTTTGCTCCTGACAGTTTGTGGAGACTCTGAAACCGGTAGGTGAGGTCCTGGGGTTGGATGTGTGAAACATGACTAATTCCCATCTGTTATTATTTCCTAGGATGCTCGAAAAGCATGTGCAGATGCAACTCTCTCTCAGGTAAGAACCAGTTCCACTACTTAGTCATCTACAGGGCAGAGGCTGCAATGGGCTGTATCTCCACCTGGGACTTTAGATTGAGCACTGTCCTGCCTCTGCCAGGGACTCTCATTTGGAAATTATTCTGGTGATAGGCAGTGTGAACCAGTGAATGTGGTTTAGATGAAAACCAGATCTCTCCAGCTATAAAGAACTAGAGATAATAGTTGTAAAATGCTTTTTTTCCCTTCTGTAAAGTATTTTTATACTTCTCTCGTTAACCAAATCTGCCTTAAACTACAGTTTGTAATCCCCAGCTATGAAGTTCCTCAGGAAGTTAGACATAGAATTACCATATGACCCTGTAATTTTACTGCCAAACTATGTCCAGAAAAATTGAAAACTGATTTTCAAATATGTGCACAGAGCTAGTGAGATGGTTTAGTAGGTAAAATCCCAGCTGCCAGGACTACCGACCTGAGTTCCATACCTGGGCCCTACATGGTAGAAGGAGACTCAAAGATGTTCTCTGATTTCCACACGTGGGTGCTGTGCTGTCTCCTCCCTCCCACCCCCCGCCCCCTGTAAAAAAGTAAATAAGTAATAAAAAATTTAAAAACCACCTGCACAAGCCAGGTGTGGTGGTGCTTGTCTTTAATCCCAGCAGGCAGAAGCAGGCGGATCTCTGAATTCAGGGCCAGCATGGTCTACATAGTGAGTTCCAGGCCAACTGGGGCTGTAGGGAAACCCTGTCTTAAAAAAACAAAAAAAAGGCCTGGCGTGGTGGTGCACGCCTTTAGTCCTAGCAGGCGGATCTCTGTTAGTTCGAGGCCAGCCTGGTCTCCGTAGTGAGTTCCAGGCCAGCTGGGGCTACAGGGAGACCCTGTCTCAAAAAGACCAAAAAAAAAAAAAAGCACATGTATAGCCATTAACCCCTATTCTAGTTTCATTCTATAGCTGTGATAAACACTTTGACAAAAAGCAGCTGGGCAGAGTTTATTTGAGTTACACTTCAGGTCATAATCCTGAAGGAAATCAGGGCAGGAACCATGGAGGAATGCTGTTTGCTGGCTCACTTTCAGGGTCATGCTTAGCTAGCTTTTATCAAATACCCAAGGACTACCTGCCTTGGATATTTGAGATGGTACTGCCTGCAGGAGACTGAGTCCTCTTAAATCAGTTAGCAGTGAAGACAGTGCCCCACGGACGAGACCACAGACCAGTCTGATCTAGAAGTTCTTCAGTTGAGGTTCCCTCTTCCTAAGTGACTCGTATCAAGTTGACAATAAACACTAACCAGCACAATGCTCATGATCTTGAACTATCATACCTCCTTGTACTGTGATGATGTAGGTATGACAATGCCTGCATACTGGATAAAAAGGTAAACAGCATAGGCACTGTGGCACTAGGTCTCTGCAGGGTTATGTGCAGACCATGATAACTGTAGTACTGCTTAATACTCCAGTGGACAAACAGTGTGTCTGCAACAGGGGTACACTGGACACAGGTGATTTGCATCTCAGGCCCTGCAGAGTGGCTTATTTAATTGTACTACTTAGAGCAATGTGCAATTTAAAATTTATGAATTGCTTACATTGGGAATTTTCCATTTACTATTTTTGGATCTCGGTTGATATCTGGGTAACTAAAACAGAAAGCAAGTGAAGAGTCTCCATTTATGTTAATCTGTGTGACTTTTGTTTTTTAAGATCACAAACAACATTGACCCAGTGGGAAGAATCCAGATGCGCACCAGGAGAACGCTGAGGGGGCACCTGGCCAAGATTTATGCCATGCACTGGGGCACAGACTCCAGGTACACATGGGCCCTTGCAATGTAGTACCTGACGTGTTTGCTGTCTGCTGTGATTTCTAGGAAAAGATAGTGGTTAGAAAGTTGAATCAGGGTGGGATATGGTGGCTCATGCCTTTCATCTCAGCACTTAGGAGGCAGAGGCAGGCAGATCTCTGAGTTCAAGGCCAGCCTGGTCTACATAGTGAGTTCTAGGCTAGGGCTACATAGGAAGACACTTTTCAAAAAATGGGGCGGGGAGGAAGAAAGGAAGTTGAGTCGTGTTCCTGCCAGTCAGGGCTAATGTCATCGATCCATACTCCTCACCCAGATCTCCACTTACCCTGGCTGACTGCACTACTGTCTTTTTGATACCAGCTCCAGCTCTCCTCTTTCCTTCGTCTTCCTTTTAGCTTCTGAAGTTTTGTTCTCTCAGTTCCACTACGGGCTGTAACATGACCAGGGAGATGTTGTCTCCCTCTCTGTGCCCTGGATTCTCTAGTTCTAGACTGTTCTTACATCTCTAGTCCCTGGGTTTATGATACTAGAGTCCACTATCGGCAGTGGAAGGAGAAAGGTACTAAGCTTTCAACAGCAACCACAGTCCCAAAAGCTGAATGTGGGCTTTACTGGTGTCTTCAGCCTCACTGGGCAGCTGTGTAGGACATGCATTACTGGCTGTCCACATCCTCCCCTGCCCCACTTCATCCCGTTAATCATCCAGAGATAACTGCCACTTGTGCTCACCTGTCCTTTTCTGTGTGTTGGATAACCATTATTGGACTTCTGAGTCTCTCCTGCCTTTTGCACTCATGATGAAATAAAGGACCATATGGTTTGTGACTATTGTGTACTCTTTTTAGCCCCAGCATAGTCTTAGCATGCCTTTCTTTGAGTAGTTTTTTTTTTTTTTTTCTGTTGTCAGAGTGGAATTTTCTGCTTGGCTTTCTCTTTATTTGGGAAGTTAATCTGCTTTAGGGTGTAAATAGCTAGAGAACAAAAGATTCTATCTTTAGTGTTCTATACAATTGCTTGTGCAGATGCATGCTTTCGTGACCATTTTAACGATGGAAGCCATTCCAATCAAAAAGGAAAGGGGGTGGGATGTTGTGCTGTTGCTCAAAGGGTGCGGCTTCAGCTAGGTGGGAAATCACAAGTTCCATTGTGGTATTGCTTTCAAAATTGTTGAGAGTAAATTTACTTGGGACTGGAAAAAATGGAATCAGTGGCTAAGAGCACTGGCTGCCCTTGGAGAGGATCCAAGTTCAAGTCCCAGCACCCATGTGGTGGCTAACAGTTGTCCATAACTCCAGTTCCAGGGGATCTGACACCCACTTATGACTTCTGTAGGCATTGCATGACTGGATGCACTTACACACATGCAGGCAATACACTCATACACAAAAAAATAAAATTAACAAACAAAATACTTAAAAAATAATAGATTTATTTGTTTTTGCAGGGCTGGCCATTGAACCTAGGGCCTTATGCCTGCTCAGTAAATGCTGTACCACTGAGTTACACCTCCAGCCACATAGATCTTAAATGTTCTCACTACAAAAAGATGATAAAAGTGAGGTGATGAGTATGTTAATTCACTTGATTTAATCATTCTGTAATATAAACATTAATTAACCTACATAGTTCATAAATAGTTACTATTTGTAAGGTATCTTGGGGGCTAGAGAGATGGCTCAGTGGTTAAGGGCACTGACCACTCTTACTGAGGACCCACATGGCAGCTAACAAACAGCTGTCTGTAACTCCAGTTCCAGAGGATCCAACCCCCTCTTCTGTCCTCTGTGGGCATTGCACAACACGGGGACACTAAATACTTGCAGGCAACACACTCATACACATACAATTTTTAAAAATAAGGTATCTTGCCTGGCATGGTGGCTCACGTCTTTAATCCCAGCACTCGGGAGGCAGAGGCAGGTGGATCTCTGTGCTTTCAAGGCCAACCTGGTCTACATAGTGAGTTCCAGGACAGCTGGGGCTACAGGGAGACCCTGCTTTAAAAAGACCAGAAAAAGAAAAATAAGGTATCTTGAGCGGTGCGTGGTGACGCACACCTGTGGTCCCAGTACTTGGGAGGCAGAAGCAGGCATATCTCTGTGAGTTCAAGGCCAGCCTGGTCTACAGTGAGTCCCAGGACAGCTGGGGCTACAGGGAGACCCTCCTTCAAAAAGACAAATATATATATATATATATATATATATATAGTCTCTTTCAAAATAGATAAGTAAAATTAGGAAATGGTTGATTTCAAAGTTATTCCTTAAAGATGTATAAAATTAAGTATGCGAAAGAAAGATAATATCATTACTAATCTGTCCACCAGAGCATATGTTCTCAAAGGTACATGATAACGAGCAGGGTGTGACCACTGTAGCTTTTCTCCATGTGCAGGAGCATTAAGTTAGATGGCACAGTAGTTGTATTCACTAGCCTTGGACCCTGCAGCCAGGCTCTGGATGGGATGTCTGGAAAGGAACCTGCATGCTGCATGCAGGGGTCATCAAGAAACTAAGGGATAGGCCTGAGCAGTGGGGGTGGGGAGGAGGGTTAGGGTGAGTGTACAAAGCCTTACATTCTATCTACTCTTCGGCATGAGTTTAAGGATAGGTCAGAAGGAAGGAAAGCAAGGGGTAGGAATTAGCAAGACCAGGTTCAGGATCATGGTGCCCTTGTGAGCAAAAGAAATACTGGGAGGCTTGAGGGAGGCTGGTTGAATGTCTTGTTTGTCCGTTTTCTTGGACAGTGTGCAGGTATCAGTGAGCATGATACTTGTTTGTTTGGGGTTTTTTTTTTGTTTGTTTTTTTTTGGTCTTTTTTGAGACAGGGCCTCCCTGTAGCCCCAGCTGGCCTGGAACTCACTATGTAGACCAGGCTGGCTTTGAACTCACAGAGATCCACCTGCCTCTGCCTCCTGAGTGCTGGGATTTATTATTGCTCTTTGAACTGGACAGCATAATGAGACCCTGTCTCAAAAAAAAAAAAGTCAAACTAATTTTATGTGTGATCACAAAAGAAAACCAAGGGTCTGGGGATGTAGCTCAGTTGCTATTGTGCACAAGACCTTGGGAGATCCCTAGCACTGCATGTACTGCACGTGGTGCTGCATGCCTGTAAATTTAGAACTCAGAAAGTGGAGGCAGGATGATCAGACACTCAAGATCAGCCTCAGCTACATAGCTACATAACAAGCTGTAGGCCAGCCTGAGCGACACGAAACCCTATCTCAGAAAACCACATGCTTTTCCTACCCCATCCCCTAAAAAATACGTATTGTTGTGGATCTCTGCGTCATGTTTAGGGATTATTTTAGATGGCCATGCTTGCATGTTTAAAATCCTAGCTTGCTTAGGGGGTGTTTTAGATGTCACCTCATATTTCTTACCTTTGTATAAAAAGTTATTGCATGAGAATCTTTTATATGGAGCTGGAGAGATGACTCAGCAGATGAGAGCACTGACTGCTCTTGCAGAGGTCCCAGGTTCAATTCCCAGCCCCCACATGGCTCTAATAACTGTCTATAACTCCGGTTTCAGGGTACCCAATTCCCTCTTCTGTCCTCCATGGGCATTGCACAACACAGGTTACACTTAACATACATGCAGACAATACACACATATATGTAAAATAAAACTGATAAATAAAAATACCTTTTAGCTGGGCGTGGTTGTGCACACCTGTAGTCCCAGCACTTGAGAGGCAGAGGCAGGCAGCTCTCTGTGAGTTCAAGGCCAGCCTGGTCTACATAGTGAGTTTTGTTTTTTGTTTTTGTATTTTTTGGTCTTTTTGCCTGCCTCAGGCTCCTAAGGGTTGGGTTTACAATCCTGCATCAACACTACTGGCCGGTGTAGTTTTTTTGAAGGGCCTGTTTTGTTTTGTTTTTTGTTTTAATATTATTTATTATTTTTATTTTACGTGTACAACTGTATTGCCTGCATGTATGTGAGCGCACCTGTGTTGTGCAATGCTGCAGAGGTCAGAAGAGGGCTTTGGAGTCCCCTGGAACTAGAGTTAAGGACGGTTTGTAGCTGCCATGTGGGTGCTGGGAATCGAACCTGGGTCCTCTGCAAGAGCAGTCAGTGCTCTTAACCGCTGAGCTGACTCTCCAGCTCCCATAGTGACTTTTTAAAGAAGAATCTTTTATATGACTCAAGGCTTCAATTTACAACTGCAGATTCTTGTTTACTGTAGTGACCAGCAGTTTGTCTCAAGGGCCCCCTGGCAACTGACTTGTATATGCTTGGGCTGGAGAGATGGCTCAGGGGGTAAGAATGCCTGCAGTATAAAAGCCTGAGGACCTGAGTTGAGATCCCCAGCACTCATGTAACAGCTGGTCAAAGCTGTTCTCCTGTAACCCGAGTGCTGCAAGGAGGTGGAGGCTGAAGGATAATCAGGCCTCACTGGGCTAGCTAGCCTGTCTGAAAAACGAGGAGATTCAAATTCGGTGACAGACCCTGCTTCAGAGAGAGAGGTTAGGACACCTGTCCATCTCTTCTGGTCCCTGCACAGGGATACATACAAGCACGCATGTGTGTCTATCAGAGTATTTGTTTCTTCTAAATTTGAACTTTTTTTTTTTTTCTTCATCATTGACTTCTGTTCCTGGCTCGCAAGTTTTGCAAGTTGTCAACATGGGATGAAATCTTTTTTTTCTCTTTTTCTTTCTTTTTTTTGGGGGCGTGGGTCGTTTTGAGACAGGGTCTCTCTGTAGCCCTAGCTATCCTGGAACTCACTATGTAGACTAGGCTGGCCTTGAACTCACAGAGATCCGCCTACCTCTGCCTCCCAAGTGCTGGGATTAAAGGCGTGCGCCACCATGGCTGGCTAAAATTCAACTTTTTTGATCAGTATTTGTACACATGCATGATGGAGACCAGGCATGTGGATGTCAGAGGACATCTGTTCTCTCTTCTATCTTTATGTGGGTTCTGGGGATCAAACTGAAGGCTTCTAGACTTTGCTGCCAAGCACCTTTACCTGCTTAGCCATCTCCCTGTCCCCGAATTCAGCTGTAATGACATTTGAGATGCTCTTTCAATCATGTTGATTTTTCTTTTCATCCTCCCTTTCTGGAGTCTGGTGAAGTCTCTGTGACTAGTTCCTCCCTCTGAGTGAAATGAAAGATGTGAGGGGTTTGGGCAGACCACAGCCTTTTGGCTGTTTCCAATTTCTATTGATATTGGAGGACAGCTCAGGAAATAGCTCTCAGAACAGTGAAGACTTCAAATAGCACAGTGAGCTGCATTGGTTTCCCCAAGTTACCTGACCTGAGAACAGGAGGCAAGTCTTCTCTCACCTTCTGGAGAATCAGCTCACAGCTTAACATTGTCTTAATCCCTCATTCCTCATTTGAGTCAGCAGTTACTAAGCTACCTGACCCTGACCAGGAGAGCTCTCTGAAGGTGACCCCTAATAGGAAGATGAATTACTTCAGATGGCTCTGATACCCTGCTCAGCTTCTCAGAAGGACCAGAAAGAAATAGGACAGCACAGGGAACTTAGCTGCTGTGTAGAGATGATTGAAAGCACCTGGTGCAGTGACTGAGCATGGATAACGGAGTGTCCAAGGAGCTGGGAGTGGTGGTATATGCTCGAGGCAGGAAAACCTTAGCAGCTTCCTGCTTGGGCTACCTAGTATAGTAGCCCAAGCCCTGTCTCCAGAAAAAGCAAGAGTCAATCTCAGGAGGTGGCCAAGAACTTCCTTCCATGCTCAAGGCCCTAGAATTCAGTCGATCAAACAGAAAAGAATTGTATGTGAGGGCTAAGGTATAATTCATTGGAAAGCACAACTCACTGTGCACAAGACAGTCCCCAGAACCGCCCCCCCCAAAAAAGTCATGACTGTAAAACAGCAGGATTGGTGCCTACACCCAGTTTAGTTTCTGTGGTAAAGTTTGTGACAAAGGACTAAAAAAGTTTTTATTCCTTGTCAAATTTATTGTCACCTTTGTAAAGGAAGTTTATACATAGGGCAGGGTACAACTAAAAGTGTCAAAGCCAATCAGAATGACTTGGATGAATTTTACGTTAAGCTTTTGATAGACTTCAGGAATCCAAATATGCTCAGAGCTAAAATGTCTGGAATTTGTTTGCTTCGATTATAATTTTGAAATTAAAAGTTTCTGTGCCACTGTTTATCATATTGAAAAAGATCTTTGCGGGGACCTGCTGTGAATAGCTGTGGTTCCCAGAATGGCTCTCACTGACTGCTTTCCAAATAACTTAAATTCCTTTGCCAGTTAGTCACACTTGCCTTTTACAGTATCCTGCTTTAATTCAGGGTACTGTAAAAGGCATGTATAGAGAGCAGCTTGTCAGCACACGGGTTCCAAACTTAGCAGAGCCTCCCTGAACTTAGCACAGAGTCATAAACAATTCATAATTCATTATGGTTGCTGTCCCCTTTTACTGGACCAGGTGAAGTTTGCTGTCCTATGTCACCTCTTTACCATGCAGGCAGAGAGACTCCTTACGCTTGTAGATTGGTAATCCAGTTTAGTGCAGTCTGGAAAGTTTTATGGTTGTTTGTTTTAAAGACAGAGTCTGCTGGAGCCAAGGCTGGCCTTGAACTCTTGACCATCCTGTTTCTGCTTCCCAAGTACTTGGAATACAGTACACTTACCAGCCCAGCTCATGGGGTGTTTAGAGTGGATTAAAATGGCTCATGAATTGAGAATGACTCAAGCTTTTCCCATAACACCAGGTTTTCTTTGTGTCAGATGGAACAGAAAATTTTATATGAAAAAGTTAACATTACTTGTGGCTTTTGAGACATCTTTGTGTTTAATTTGATGTGGGGCGTTGGGGTGGGGGTAGGGGGGTAACCATGCAGAAATGATGGCAAGAAGAGCTCAGGGGCGCCTAGGTGATGAGAGCCTAGGAACTGGTAGCTTGGTCTGTATGAAGCCAAGTGTTCAGGGCCAAACTGGTACGTGTGACGGTGTTTGCATTTTTGGCATCACAGTTGGTTCAGTGTTTTGATTCTTCAAGACAGGGTCTGACTGAGAAGAAAGTCACTATGTAGACCAGGCTGGCTTTGACTGCACCAGAAATCCACCTGCCTCTGCCTCCTAAGTGCTGGGATTAAGGAATGCACCACCACCCCCTGGCCAAAAGTGTAGCCCAGGCTGGCTTTGAACTCAGGATCCTCCTACCTCTGCCTCTTCAGCATATCCTGCTGGTATCCACCACCATGACTGGCTCAATTCTTTTCTTATTTCTAAGTATACTTAGTCTTAGGCAAATGTGTTAAAGCTGTAGTCGGACATCACCAAGATTTTTTTTCTATTTTCTTTCTCTTTCTCCAGGCTCCTTGTCAGTGCTTCTCAGGATGGGAAACTCATCATCTGGGATAGCTACACCACAAACAAGGTGGGCTACACAGACCCTTCCCTGGAACACCACCAAGGTCCCATCTGTGCCAACTCAAAAGTTTCTGTTCAGCAATGTGGTCCTGAGGGAAATGCAGGAGTTTGTGTTGCTGGTCCCTTGTGCTGGGCACACAGTTGTGGTTTGGTTTCTGTTTTCCCTTGTAGGTAGGAGCTGAGTGCCTCCTTGTGTTGGTGAGAGACCTGCTGCATTCCAGTCTTAGCTTAGACCGGGAAGTTTTATGATTTATTTATAGAGTGCATAAATGTAGCTTTCCATTTTAGTTGCTAGTTTTTTTTTAACAGAAAATCTGAAAGGCACTATACTTCAAAATTTAGTTGAGGATTAGAAATGTAGCTCAGTGGTAGAGTACTTGGCCTACTTGCATGATGCCTAGGATTAATTCCCACCATCACCTAAACTAAAAATAAAATGTAGGCCAGGTATGGTGGCACACACCTTTAATCCCCAGCACTTGGGAGGCAGAGACAGGTGGATCTCTGTGAGTTCAAGGCCAGCCTGGTCTACATAATGATTTCCAGGCCAGCTGGGGCTATAGGGAGACCCTGTCTCAAAAAGACCAAATTTAAATAAACAAACAAACAAACAAATAAATAAATAAATAAATAAATGTAACTCAGGGTAGTGGTACTAGTCTATAATCCCAGTTACTCAGGAGAGAGAGAGGAGAGATTAGACATACATTCTGTGGGTAAGAGGTACAAGGCCCTGGGTTCAAGCCTCACCTGTCTTATATTGAAATGAAAGGTTATGCTGGGCGTGGTGGTGCATGCCCATAATCTAGCACTTGGGAAATAGAGTTCAGGACTATCCTTAGCCACACAGTGAGTTTGAAACCAGCCTAGACTACATGAGACCCTCTCTTTTTTTTTTTTTTTAAAAATATTTTATTATTTTCATTTTATGTGTATGGGTGTATTACCTGCATGTGAGTGCACCCGTGTCATGCAATGCTGTAGAGGTCAGAAGAGGGCTTCGGATTTCCCCTAGAACTGGAGTTAAGGATGGTTCATAGCTACCACGTGGGTGCTGAGAATCAAACCCAGGTCCTCTGCAAGAGCAGTCAGTGCTCTTAACCTCTAAGCCATCTCTCCAGCCCTGAGAGTTTGTTTTTTAATTTGAGACAGAGCTTACTACCTAGCCCAGGTGGACCTCAAACCTGTAGTCAAGTCTGGGATGGAGCTTAGTGATAGAGTGCTTGTGTAGCATCTACAAGGCCCTGGGTTCCTCAGAACCACCCCCAAAGCCTCTGGATTCTCCTCCCTTAGCCTTCCAAGTGCTAGGGTTTATTAGTGTGTGTCTCTACATATGGACACATTGGGGAGGAAAAGTGCTGTCATCAGTCTAGGTAAGGGAAATAATCAAATTCAGTTGTTTTTTTCGTTTGGTCTTTTTGAGACAGGGTCTCCCTGTAGCCACAGCTGGCCTGGATTCACTGTGGAAACCACGTCCCGTGTGTTAATACTCTTGAACTTGACGGTGTTGCCTTGTTCCTTTGTGTTCTTGTTTAGGTTCATGCCATCCCTCTGCGTTCCTCCTGGGTCATGACCTGTGCATACGCTCCTTCTGGGAATTACGTGGCCTGTGGTGGCCTGGATAATATATGTTCCATTTACAATCTGAAAACTCGTGAAGGGAATGTGCGTGTGAGTCGTGAGCTGGCAGGACATACAGGTACACATCGCACCATGACCTTTCAGTGATATGAGCTGCTTCCTAAGGTGTGCCTTCACTATTGGCCTGTCTTTGATTATTAGTTTAAGTAAACATTAGGCTAAGGGCCAGAAACTTGCTGAAAGTGAAACCAAACCAGGCCCAATTAGGCCTTTACCAATAAGAAACCTGTAAATTACTTAGGCTGATTTCTGAGTTCCTAGGTACCTTGTTCACTTTGAACAGTTAACAGCCACCTTTCTTGTTTATCAACATACTGGTCATTATTTTATTATTAATTATTATTATTATTATTATTATTTTGGTCTTTTTGAGACAGGGTCTCCCTGTAGCCCCAGATGGCCTAGAACTCTCTATGAAGACCAGGCTGGCCTAGAACTCAACAGAGATCCACCTGACTCTGCCTCTCAGTGCTGGGATTAAAGGTGTGCGCCACCACCCTTGGCTATTTACCAGCATATTGTTCTTCAGTCCCCTTCTAAACTGCCTTCCATCAAGACTTTCCACAGGAGTTTTCCAGTCTAAGCATGCGTTCCAGTATGTTTTTCATATGTGGACCCAACATAATTGTCGTGTACATATTCTTTTGCCAAGATTTAATTCACCATAACAAAAGACATTGCATCTCCAAAACAAGATCCCATCATAGTATTTCTGCGACTGTATTCTCTGCCCTTAAGCCCTGTCCTTCAGTGCGTTCTTGATAGAACGTACCACCAGGGTTACCACAAGTAACCAAAGGCCTGATCAGAATTAACTGTGATAGAGAGCACTGCTTCATGTAAATTTTGATAAATTCTATTTAAATTTTTGTTCTAGGGACTGAGGTGTAGCTCAGTTGGTAGACTGCTTGCCTAACATGCACAAAGCCCTAGGTTTGAACATCAGCACCATATAGAATCCCAGCACTGAGGAGGTGCGGGTAGGAGGATCAGGAGTTAAAGGACATCCTTAGCTACATAGAGTTTGAGGTTAATCTTGGCTGTATGATACTTAATTTTCAAATATCTGATAGAAAGAAGCAAGCTGGAGAAGGCGGCTCAGTAAGAATGCTTGCTGCATAAGGACCTAAGTCAGATCCTCAGAACTCACATAAAATGCCAAACATGGCACATGTGCCTGTAACTCCAGCGTTATGGGGGGTGGAGATGGGAGGGGAGGATCGCTCAGGCCTAGTTCAATGAGAGATCTTCTCAAGGGAATGAGGTAGATAGTTATAGAGCAGGACATGCAATATCTGATGTTTTCTGGTCTCTGCATGGGCATGTGCAGCTATGTGCGTGTGCACATATACCACTCCCAGAAATGTTTTGAAAAAGAATAACTGAGAGGCTGGAGAGATGGCTCACGGGTTAAGAGCACTGACTGCTCTTGAAGAGGACCCAAGTTCGATTGCCAGCACCCACATTGCGGCTACAAGCCACCAGTTCCAGGGGACTCCAAAACCCTCTTCTGACCTCTACGGCATTGCACGACCTGGGTGCACTCACATACATGCAGGCAACACACTCATACACACAAAATCAAAAAAATAAAATGTAATTTAAAAAAATAACAGGTTTCTTTTTTAAAGTACTGGCTTCTAGTTAAATGCATTGGTTCAAAGAACAGTTCTGCATTTAATCGAGTACTCTAATCAAGATTACATGTTATGAACATGTAGCAACAAATGTGTATTCTCTAATTGTTGGACATTGTGTTGGTGTGTATGTTCATCAGAAAATGATTTTGATGTCAAATCTTCTGTTTGTCTATTCTGTGAATTGATGAAAGAAGGTGTTAATGGTCATGGATTCACCACACACACATACACATACACACATATATGTATATATATTGATGAGGGAAGGTGTTAATGGTAATGGACTCAGTTTTTCCTTTTGACACTTTGCTTCATATGTATTTTTGTTTACTTCATACATGCACACATACATACACGTGTGTATATATATGTGTGTGTGTATGTATATATGTGTTGTTTTGCATGAGGGTCTCATTATATAGCCTTGGTAGCCTAGGTGTCGATCAGTTTGGCCTCAGATTCGTAGAGAACTGCCTGCCTCTGCCTCTCAAGAGCTGGGATTGAAGGCATGCATCCCCACACCAGCCTCACTTGTTCAAGTGCTGAATATAGATGCCTGGACATTGGACATTTGCTGCTTCTGGACCTTTCTGAATAATTTATCCTTTTGTCACTACCAAAATCCCTCTCCCATATGGTGTTCTGTTGTGAAGTCCATTTCATCTGATGTGTGTGGCCAGCTCAGCCTCATGCTCACTGTCCGCATAGTAGATTTTTTTTTTTTCTTATTTGCTGTTTTTCTCATAAATTATCTTTCATACACAGCGTAGAGCTAGGTCTTGGTTTTCAAGTGTCTGCCTTTGGGGCCTGGGGATGTAACTCAATCGGTAGTGTGCCTCTTTACTATGCATAGAATAAAACCAGGCATAGTGGTACATCTATAATCCCAGCACTTGGGACGTGAAGGATGAAAAACAAGAAGTTTGGATTTGTCCTTTACTACATAGTGAGCTTGAAGCCAGCCCAAACTACCCAAAGTGCTGTGTCGTCATCCGTTCCCTCCCCCCACCCCCACCCCCACCTGGAGAAAATATTCCAACAGATGGATCTCCGAGTTTGAGGCTAGCCTCAAAACAAAAAGCGAAAGTACCTCTGCCTCTAAGTACAGGTTAGTTCACGTTCCCTCACTTATGTCCAGAAATCTCTCAAAAGTTGAAAATACAAGCAGCTGAAATGCATTGACTGCCTGGCCTGCCTCCTGTTCTCTTCACCCTGTGGTCTCGGACCAGGCTGGGGGCTTTCAGATCACTGCTACTGCCCAGCATCTCAGGAAGGTGATACCAGCTAATGCTAAGCCAGAGAAAGATTCACATTCAGACTATGAAGTTCGTTTCTAAGTTTTGCTTTCTTACTATTATAAAATGGAAAAATCCTAGGCGGAGACTATGTCCTGTAGTTACCTCTGCTGCTTAGTACTTGTAATCTGCACCCCTTTTTTTGTTCTTCTCTTTGTTTATTCCTGCCCTTTTGGGTTACTTTTGACTTGTAGCTCAGGATGATCCCACCCTCTCCACCCTCTTTTCTTTGCCTCTTCAGTGCTGGAGTTAACAAGTGTGCATCACCATACCTGGGAACAGTAGTCTGTTTCTTTCCCTTTAGACAATCTGAAGAAATTGATCTTAGGCCAGGCATGACCCCAGCACTCTGGGGTCTGCAAGAGGACTACGTTCAAGGCCAGCTTGGGTTACAAAAGAAAGATCCTGTGTCATATAATTTTTTTAAAGTTTAGTAGTTTTCCACATGTCCTCACATGTCGTTCATCTCCAGTGTATTCATTCCATCCTGAAAATACATTCTGCTTTCTCATCAGCCTGAAAACCATTCCTTAATATGATACATGAAGTGCCCTTATCCTTGGGAGATGTGCTCCAGACTCCTTTGTGGCACCCTAAATTGTTGATAGTGCCAGTCCGTGTGCGTAATGTATTTCTGGTGTGTGTCTACAATGAAGCTAATTGTTAAAGTAGTCACAGGAAGACATTAACAACAATAGCTAGTAAGAAGATAATACAGTTATAGCAGTACACTGTGATAAATATTGTTCATTTAATCTTTTTGTTTCTGGAACTTTCTATATAACATTGTCAGCCAAGGTTTCCATGGGTAGCTGAAGCCAGACGGGGCTGCTGTGGGTTAGGGTAGGCTGCTGAGAAGTCTTCATTTCTTTGAAAAGGTCTGTTGGACTTTTTTTTTCTTTTGAGACAGGGTCTCCCTGTAGCCCCAGCTGTCCTGGAACTCACTATGTAGACCAGGCTGGCCTTGAACTCACAGAGATCCACCTGCCTCTGCCTCCCGAGTGCTGAGATTAAAGGCGTGCGCTACCATGCCCGGCTGATTGACCTTTATTTTTATTTATTTATTTATTTTTTGTTGTATGTGTGTACACGATGTTGGAGGAGGGTATGCATGCTGCAGAGGTCAAAGGACAATTCTGGAGTCCGTTGTTCTATGTTTTTGGTTTTAACCTGGAACTTGCTATGTAGACGAGGCCTCAGTCTCACAGAGATCCACTTGCCTCTGCCTCCTGAGTTCTGGGATTAAGGATGTGTGCCACCACACCTGGCTCTCATTCTATCTTAACATGGGTTCTAGAGATCAAACTCAGGTTGTCAAGTGTCTTTACCAGCTGACCATCTAGCTGGTACTTGATCTGTGTGTGTGTGTGTGTGTGTGTGTGTACCGTGACACATGTATGGAGGTTAAAGGACAATTTGTGAGAAGTTACTTCTCTCCTTCCATCCTGTGGGCCCTGGGAATCGAACTCAGGTTGTCAGGCTGGGCAGCATGCCCCATACACACTGATCCATCTTACTGGAGCCCTTGACTTTTATTCTTGGAGGATATTTTTCCTGGCTATATAGAAATCTGGGTAGACTTTCTACTTTTTGAAAAAGATGTATCTTTGACTTTAAGCGGTTTGACGTTCCTGGGTATGTGACTTTCTTTGTTATTCATGGTGCTTTGACAATTGGAAGCCATAAATTTTATCTTTTGATAAATTGGTAGAATCTGGGCCATGTCTTCAAATACTGTGGTTTCTGTACCTTGGGTGTGAATGGGCATTCTTCAGTCTCTACTTCTCAGCGTGGTTCTGTTTATATTCGAGCATAGTTATTTCTGTCATCACCAGCAGACAACAGCTTTTCTTCCTGCCAGTCTGGTAATTGCCAGCATTTAAGAGAGGCTCACCTGAGAAGAGGTGCAAGAACCCAAATTATGCTGGCGATCTCTGGAAGGACGGCCAGCAAGGCTTTTGTATCAACTGTCTCTGAATCCATTTTTTGGTTTTTTTTTTAATTTTATTTTTATTTTATGTATATGAGTGTATTTTCTGCGTGTATGTGAGTATACCCATATCATACAATGCCAGAGGAGGTCAGAAGAAGGTGTCAGATTCCTTGGAACTGGAGTTAAGGACAGTTATTAGCTGCCATGTGGGTGCTGGTCATCAAACCCAGGTCCTCTGCAAGAGCAGTCAGTGTTCTTAACCGCTGAGCTATCTCTCAAGCCCATTTGTTTTCATTTTTAAACTTTTTTTCCAGGGACTGGAGAGATGGCTCAGCAGTTCAGAGCACTGGCTACTCTTGCAGAGGTCTGATTTCTCAGCATCCACATGGGGGCTGGCAACTGCCCTCAATTCCAGTTCCAGGGGATCTGACACCCACTGTTGACCTCTGAGAGCATTGCACACATGGTGGCTAACAGCCACCACGTAACCTCCAGTTCCAGGGGATCCAGCGCCCTCTTCTGATACCTCTGTGGGCATTGTATGACACAGTTGCACTTACATGTAGGTAATACACTCATATACATAAAATAAAAATAAATTTTTTAAAAAATGTAGGGCTCTTTTGGAGTCATCAGCACTTCTCAGGAATGTTCTCATTAGAGGCCTTGGCAACCATTCAGCAGTCTATTGGCAGTCAACTCAGGAACAGGCTACTGAGTGTCAGTTGTGTATTCTGTTAGTCCCAGACAGGAGCTTCCCCTGTAGAGTGTGCCTCCTAGACTTGGAAACTTAACAGAACTGTAGAGACTGTCTTAGAGAGTAAGGAAGCCCTGGAAGTTTGGTGCACTAGGTTCATGGTAACTAGGAGAAAGTGTTCACTATTACTGCTTTAAATATTACAGAGACAGAATGCACGTTCCAGATTCCAGATTGTTGGAAATTGTTATAGAGGCAACAGATATATAAAACACACGTTACCTGAAAAATTATTAATGGACTGAAAACTCATCTGACGACACTAGAACTCAGACACAAATTATTCTCAGTGTTGATCCCTATGGCTGATTAAGAGAGAATGGATACCTGGGCTCAAGAGTTGCTTCTCTGAGACTTGAGTTCAGGGCCTTTTGCTGGAGTCTTTTGGTCAAGAGTGCTGCTGCATCGTGGCCCCTGATGAAGCATGGCATTGCTGTTCGGTATTGGAACCTGGTGGGGTGGCTGAAGCCATCAAATCCCTGGAATTTGCAGCTGGGCAGTTACTTCTCTGGCCCCTGTCTCAGCATCCCACTTCTGTTGACTTGTCACAGTCAACCTGGAGCTCAGCCTGTGCCTGTCCTCCTCATCCTTCCATGTCACTCACTCCTGTAGAGGGAAGTGGCATTTTCAGGGGTGGCCGCCAGCAAGTGCTTGGCCACAGCATCCATGCTGAACCCAGGAGTTGCTGGGAAATTCTCAGTCTCTGTCTCCTTTTGCGTAATCTTGTATAACCTTCTACAGCTGCTCCTTTGCTTAGCAGACTTCCCTTCTCTTCTCTGGCAGTTCCTGACTTCGGATCATCAATCTACTTCACTATCAACTCCCTTTTCCTTTTTCTAAATTTTATTTACTTTCATTTTATGAGTATGAGTGTATTGCCTGTGTGTGTGTAAGTACCCCTGTGTCATGCAATGCCCAAGGAGGTCAGAGGGGGTGTCAGAGTTCCCTGGAACTGGAGTTATGGGTTATTACTAGGCACTGTGTGGGTGCTGGGAATAGAGCCCCAGTCCTCTGCAAGAGCAGTCTCTTAACCGCTGACCCATCTCTCTAAGCCGCCCCCCTCCTTTTCTTTGCTTTTCCTTTTTTTTTCCTTTTGGTCTTTCTAAAGCAGGGTCTCCCTGTAGCCCCAGCTGTCCTGAAACTCAGTATGTAGACCAGGCTGGCCTTGAACTCACAGAGATTCACCTGCCTCTGCCTCAAAAGTGCTGGGACTACAGGCATGCGCCACCATGCCCAGCTGACCCCCTCCCCCCCTTTTTTTTGAAACATTTCATTTTTATTTATGTGTGTGAATGTATTGCCTGCATGTATGTAAGTGTACCCATGTTATGCAGTGCCTGTGGAGGTCAGAAGAGGGCATTGGAGCCCCTGAAACTGGAGTTAAGGTTGGTTGTTAGCTGCCATGTGGGTGGTGGGAATTGAACCAGGGTCCTTTACAAGAACAGCCAGTGCTGTTAACCACTGAGCCATCTCTTCAGCTCCTCCCTTTTCCTTTTCTCTGACTTTTTGAAGCAAGTGTCCACAATTTACCTGTTCTCCAGCTTTCCTGTTCCCCTAGGATGAGGCCAGTGGCTTTTCTTCCAATTCTACATTGACAGTTGATTCCTGCTCTCAAAATGAAACTTGTACAGATTTTTAGCTTTGTTCCTGGGCTGAACTGGGTACAATATAGATGTTCCTTTACCATCTAACTTCAGCAGTGGCAAGTACGGCTCCCTTTTCCCCATGGTGCAGGTTGGGAAGCTAAAACCGTCTTTGTTGGATTCATTTTGGAAGTTTGTAGTTTTCAACTAAAATCACATTCAGAATTGCAGCGCTGATCTTTGTGCATGAGTGTTACACTGGTACATAAGCCGAGGAACTTATTCATGCTATAAAAGCACCATATTAATGAGCTATACTCCCAGCACATTTGTGTGTATTTTGGAAGCTCTAACTGGTAAGTTACCAAGAGAAACACCAGCAGTGTCTGGTGCTTCCGTGTCCACACCTGCACAGCCGCTACTCTGTTCCTGTTGACACTTTCATATGCCTGTATCTGGGGCCATATCAGCTTTTGTGAATTCAAATCCCACATGGAACTTGATTCGCTCTAATTGACTGAGGCCTACTAGCCTGGGGACTGGTGTTCCAGTCCTTTGAACAGTTCTGTGCTGTGGCTTACCTTCTTTCTGGTCTCTGGTTCCTGGTGTTGGAAGCCTGAAGGTATGTGCTGTATTGCTGTTTTGAGACCTGCATGTGGTGGGACCACTGCTGTTGGAGTTGGTGCTTCTTTCACACACATACAATTAAATGTTTTTGCAATCACTTAAATCTCTTGAAAATTGTAGTGCTGCTGTGACCCACAAAAAAGTCTTGTTAGGGCCAGTCTGGCACATGCCCTGAGCAGTGTCCAGTTTGATGACCCTTAACAAAATAATGCTGATTATTAGTACAAACTCATAATAATGTGGAGATCACAGAATTGAGGGTTTGTTTTGGCTTTCTTATGTTTGAAATGGGATTTTTCTTTTTTTACTGTGCCCCACTCTGTCCACAGCTTCTGAGTATAGGCAGGAGCACAGCTGTGTCCATGCAGACTGCACATCGTAGCCCTTGGGAAAGCCAGCCCGCTCACCTGTGTTCAGAGAGCCAGCCTCCTGGACAGTCCCAGTCTTCTTGTCGTAGGGCTGGTTAACCAGCTCATCTTTCCCTGTTCCCCATGATTGTCCTTCTGTGGCCTGAAGTCCTTTCTGCCCGGATTCCATGAGTTCTGGTCCGTCTTCCTCCTGCCTCTGGCTGAGCCACCTACTTAGAAACAGCGGCTCGGGAGTCTAGAGGACTTTCCTGTCTCCTGTCCTCTCATGAGGCCCCTCACTCTGATGTCTCATGTTTTATCACAGTAGTTCCTAATGTACCTTTTGAAGTTACTGTTCCTCTTCCCTGGGCTGTGAACTCTAAGTGAAAAGTTTCCTTTCTGCAAGACTGTTCCAGATGTCCACAGCTGCCCACCAGGCCCTAGACTCTTTCACTGAGTGAGTGAACAGGCAAATGAGGAGAGGAACTGGAACCTCTGCCTTCATATTTCTGCACAGGAAAGTAGATGGAAGAGTCAGGTGTTTCCTAGGCACCGCTTGCTGTTCTCTGTTGTGCAGGATGTGGATCTGGGTGATGTGTCCCATAGTCTTAATGTGGGTTCTCCCTGGTTGGAATCTCACCCACACTATGAGAATAAGACAGAGTTCTGTTCCAACTCAGAGAAGTTCCATTACCGTAGTTTTTAACACTGAAAAGAGCATAGGGTCAGGGCTTGTAGATCTGGGTCCTCATTTGGGTCTGCTCTTTATCAGGTTATCTATCCTGCTGCCGGTTCCTGGATGACAATCAGATCGTCACCAGCTCTGGAGACACCACGTGGTAAGTACCTGACAAGGCAGGCAGTGAGGACTGAGACCCACTGTTCTCGTTCACATCAGTAGGATGAGACATGCAAGCTAGATGGTTCTTGGTGTTCATTAGATCATCTTTAATTTGAAATGGACTGGAGGTTTAAACACAAAGTAGCAATAAGTAATTCATTGTACTGTCTGTCGATGTACGAAGTTTGGTTTTGAACAGTTTAGGCTGCAGTTGCATACTCAATATCTGCTTTTCTTTGCCTTTCTCCACTTTTATTCAGCCAGACGGTGTTCTGTAGCCCATGGAGTAGGAGAGTCTTCTGTGCTTGTCTCATGCCATCTCATTCTGAGCACGGATACAGCTTCAAACTCAACTTTATCAAACAGAGTTTTTATTTATGAGTAGGTGGAAGCCTGCTTAAGTAAACTCTGAAAATTTTCCATTTCTTCCTTAATGAAATGACCAGATAGTTATTTTAGGAGAGCTGTTTTAGATACAGCAGGGCCACTGCACACATGAACCCACAGTGCTTATGACAGCATGCACAAGACCTGCTCGAGCTCAAGCCAGACAAAGTCCTGGCATGGAATGGGGAGGCGGGAAGAGGCCAAAGCCCTGCTGAGGAACCATTGAGAGTCATTTCTTTAAGGGTGTGATGCTGAGTAGGTTTACCAGGCCCCACCCTAGAGCATTTGGGGAATAGAAACTGGACTTAATAGGCTTTTTTTAAAAAATCCCAAAGCCACCTTAACGTAGTGGCACACACCTCTAATCCCAGTACCCAGGAAGCAGAGGCAGGAGGATATCTGTGAGTTCAAGGCCAGCCTGGTCTACATAGCGAGTTCCAGGCCAGCTGGAGGTACAGGGAGACCCTGTCTCAAAAAGACCCCACCCCCCCAAAAAAAAAACCCAAAAGCCCACAATAATAGTAGAGGACATGAAGTGGGGGGGTGTCCTGAATATGATCAAAATACCTTACATGAATTTCTCAAGGTGTGGGGAGGGGCATTCCAGTTCCCCTTATGTGTTGTGTGTGAATGTGTTGTGGCTTGCAGCTATAGCTGCTAGGGCTGTGGCACAGCCATGCAGTCATGTTGACTATCTTCATATGTCAATTTGCCACACCTGGGAAGAGGGAACCTCAATTAAGGTGTTTCTGCCATTAAACTGCCCTATGGAGGCATTTTCTTAACTGCTAATTGAAGTGGGAGGGCCCAGCCCATTAAAGCAAGTCAAGCACAGGCCAAAGGAGAAGCAAGCCAATAAGCAGCGTTTCTCCACAGTCTCTGCTCCAGCTTCTGCCTCCAGGTTCCTGATTTGAGTTCCTGCCCTGGTTTCTCTCAGTGATGAACTCTGATAAACCAAATAAACCTTCCCCCTCACATTGGTTTTCATCTGTGCTTACCATAGCAGTAGAAAGCTAATTAATTAGAACGGCAGTCCATGTCTGATGAGGGCAGGGCCTCTGAGATGTGGGCTGTTACTGGCTTCAGCAGCAGCAGTTTGTAGTGTCACAGTGTCTTGGGTTGTATGAATTTCATAGTCACAAAATCTGCAGTCCAGATCATCATCTGTACTGGGAAGACTTCCTCTGTCAGGAGGTGTTTCTGAAATGCTTTCATGTATTGATCATTTTCTTGGATGAGATGAGAGTCCCTATGCATTATGTTGAAATTGGTTCATTGATTTGTGTTGCTAGGCCAAACCAGGCTTTCCGGGTTGATGAGAACTGGCAGTTTATAGTACCGTTGCTTTCTGCAGATTGTAGACAGAAGTACACACAGCCAGTGCCTTCAGTGCCAACTCCTGCCCTTTGCAGTGCTGTTGGTGTCTCACCTTTTCAGCATCCATGTGCATCCATGAAGATCATCTCTGGTCTCTGGTTATAACCCCAAGGAAGGGGAGTTAGGGCATCAGAATTGCTTTGAGCCATTTGTTTACCTGGCATTGCCCCCTAGTGTCTGGGGGGGACACAGGGACTAACACAAGTGAAACTGTCCTCTCACTTTTTAGGCCATAGCTCTTCCTGTTGCTCCCACAGACTATCCATGAATCTGAATGTGTGACCTAGCCTTTTATGTCCTGCTTTGAAAGGCCACACAGAACGTAGGTCCCTTTCGCTGGTATGAGGTGACCTGGAAACCAATGTTCTAGGCCTAGTCCATACATTTATCCACACAGTTAGGTTTATTTTCTTTGCTTCATTGCTCCTAAACAAAGTTGTATTGCAGAATTAAATGTGTCTTCAAAATGACACAGAGGTCTTCTGTGGTCCTGGGTAGTTCAAAGAATAGTGTTTTAGGTGGCCTGTGGTCCAAGATGTGAGGCTGACCTGTTTGTCATTTGCCCCTGCTCCAGTGCCCTGTGGGACATTGAAACAGGCCAGCAGACAACCACGTTTACTGGACACACTGGAGATGTCATGAGTCTGTCTCTCGCTCCCGACACCAGACTGTTTGTTTCTGGTGCTTGTGATGCTTCAGCCAAGCTCTGGGATGTCCGAGAAGGGATGTGCCGGCAGACCTTCACAGGCCACGAGTCTGACATCAATGCCATCTGTGTGAGTTTATATTCTACTTATCAGATCTTCCTTTAATAATTTTTAAAATATTTACTCTTTTTGGGAGGGGATCTTTTTTGAGACAGGGTCTCCCTGTAGCCCCAGCTGGCCTGGAATTCACTGTGTAGACCAGGCTGGCCTCTGTCTCCAAGCACTGGGATTAAAGGTGTGCACCACCACACCCAGCCTTACTTTATTTTTTAAATTGTGTGTATGTACATGTGAGTGCAGGTACCCTTGAAGTTCAGAAGTGGGCATCAGGTTCCCTGGAGCAACAGTTACAGGTTGTAGCTACCTAATGTGAGTGCTAGGAACCAAACACAGTTCTCTGCAAAAGCAGTGTTCTCTTTTTACTGCTGAGCCATGTATTTGCCCTCTTCCAGCTAGGGGCATGGTGGAGTCAGAACCTGCTTCCTCACCAGCACCTGTCCATACAGTGTTTTTGCTGCTGGCCTCATGAGTTAGTCTGGAGTGATGAGTCTGATTGGCTGGGGCAGCAATTTGCCTCTCAAGTTTCCTAATAATTTGTGGCCAGGGAGCAGAAGCCCTCAATGGCTCACTGCTTCAGTGGACTGAAATCTACCCTGGGGGAGGGTGACAGCTGCAGTCCACAAGCTCCAAGTCGGGGTTCCCTAGTTCACACCCCATCTAGCTCCATAAGGCCAGTTCTTGATCCTTTTTTTTTTTTTTTTTTTTTTTCTTTTTGTCTGAAACGGGGTCTTCCTATAGCCCCAGATGTCCTGGCACTTGCTATGTAGACCAGATGGCCTCAAATTCACAGAGATCTGCCAACTTCTGCCTCCTTGATGCTGGGACTAAAGGCGTGCACCACCATGCCTGACTCCAACCCTTGTTCTTGGTGGAGCCCAGAGCTGTTCTCCTTTCCCACAGCAGCCAAGCCACTAATGATTGCATTTATATTACTTCTTTTTAAGCATTTTTGTGTGGCCTGGAACTCCATATGTAGTTCAGGTTGACCTTGAACTCACTGTGGTCTTGATGTCTTCGTTTGTACCTATCTATATACTCCCTACTATGCTGTGATTACAGGCAGAAACCATCACATCCATACACGCACGCACTTGTACACACACGTACACACATACACACACGTCCTGGGGCTAGAGATTGGATCCAGAGTGTTTCACATTCCAGGTACGTATTCTGCCACCTGATGTGTCCCCAGCCCTAACACAGATGTCTTGATTTCCCTTTTCTTTCTAGTTCTTTCCCAATGGCAATGCCTTTGCCACTGGCTCAGACGATGCTACCTGCAGGCTGTTTGATCTCCGTGCAGACCAGGAGCTCATGACCTACTCCCATGACAACATAATCTGTGGGATCACATCTGTCTCCTTCTCCAAGAGTGGACGCCTCCTCCTTGCTGGGTATGACGACTTCAACTGCAACGTCTGGGATGCACTCAAAGCTGACCGGGCAGGTAGGTGACCACAAGGCTTCTGTGTTCTTGGACATTAAATAGTTCTTTGTGAGGAAATAAAACCCATGTGAACTGAAATGTGTAGGTCTGTGTCGGCTCAGCTGTGGCATTGCTCAGCAGGGGTGACAGAAGCCACATAGCTGGGCTCCAGCCCTTTAGAGAGTTAACCCCAAGAGAACCGAAAGCTCTTCCTGTGAGGAGAAAGCAGGAGATTCTGGCACCAGAAATCACTGAGCTCAGGGTTGAAATTTGCCTTTTTGTGTGTGAATTTTGAGATAGAGTCTTACTGAGTGGCCCTAGCCTGATGCTCACTATGTAGAGCAGAATGTCCTTGAATTTAACAGTCATCCTGCCTTGGCCTCAGTTTGCTGCCTCTTATGCCATCACAGCTAACTCAATGCCAGTTCCATCTTCAGGTTTCTGAGCCTCTGCAGCTCTGCCATCTGATACAGTGCCATGCCCATCCCTCTCTATAGGCCTGTCGAACAGTGTGCTAGTAATGGTTGAAGTCTGAATCTTACACATCATAAGCAGGTGTGTTGTAGTTGAGGATGTTAAAACACAAGCTGGACAAAAGAGGCAACTGTCTTTGTTTTTAAACAAAGTGAACTTGGACTGGCCTTAAGCTTGTGGTCCTCCTTCCTCTGCCTCCTTTTCTTTTTTTTTTTTTTTTTTTTTGCTTTTTTATTTATTTTTTTAAATGTGTATGTGTGTGTTGCCAGCATGTAGGTAAGTGCACCTGTGTCGTGCAATGCCCCCGGAGGACAGAAAAGGCTGTTGGATCCTCTGGAACTGGAGTTACAGTTGTTAGCTGCCATGTGGGTGCTGGGATTCGAACTTGGGTCCTCTGCAAGAACAACCAGTGTTCTTAACTGCTGATCCATCTCTCCAGCCCCCTTCCTCTGCCTCTTTAAGACCAGAATTATCAGCATGAGCTGCCATGCTCAGCTAGGAGAACTTATTATTAAAGTAGACATTTGGGGGCTGGGCATGGTGGCGCATATATTTAATCCCAGCATGAGATTGAGGCCAGTCTGGTCTATGTAGAAAGTTCCAGGCCAGCTGATGCTACAGGGAGACACTGTCTCGAAATAAATTTAAAATAGACATTTGGGTACTTGAATCTGAAGAATGTTGACATGCTTAAAATTTTTCAGCAAGTCTGTTTGGGAGGATGGAAGAGGGTGGCATATCTCTGAGTTTTGTGGGCTTTACTATGGCTTTCTCTACCCTGTTAGGCTGCTGAATTAGAGCCATTTCTAGCTTAGTGTCTTTGTGGCCCAGGGAAGTTTAGCCTCACCTCTACAGAGCCCTCCTGGTACTCAGCTGGGACACCAGTAGCAGCAGGAGCGGGAGCTGTCTCTAACCTTCAAACCCCTCTGTGGTAGGAGTATTTTGGCCAGTGGTTGAGCCAAGGCTGTGGGGAGTGTCAGCAAGTGGTGTGTCACTGTGTGACAACTCCATGATCTCTGCAGCCTTCACAGCTATGCTACACTGTGCTGGGCTCTAGGCTCTGTGTACTCAGGTGGTCAACTGCATTGAGATAAGGTGTTTGGATTTTTAACTCATTTTTGGGTTTGTAGCTTGTTCTCCACTGTTTAAGCTTCTTCAGCTGGTTACTTTGCCACTCATGTGTGTCCTTGTTCTCCTTTTGTGCATATTTGTATTTCCTATAGGTGTGCCCATGTTCTTGTTTGAGAACAGCAAGTTACAGTTGCTCTCTTAATAAAACTGGCCATGGACCTAAGGATGATATCCACTGGACAAAACTGTCCCCTCCTGGGGTCCTTCCCTTGCCCTCTTAGGGATTGACCATGGGGGAGTCTTGAGTCTTGTCTCAAAATGATAGACAACCCTTGTCAGAACATCATATGCAGGTGAGACGCTTCTGGGCTTTAGTGACTACTGTTTTTGTTTCCAGGTGTCCTAGCTGGACACGACAACCGTGTCAGCTGCTTGGGGGTGACTGATGATGGCATGGCTGTGGCAACAGGGTCCTGGGACAGCTTCCTCAAGATCTGGAACTAAGGCCAGTAGGTAATGGAGTAGCCCTAATGCCCTTCCTTGAGTGGAGCCGAACATACTTCTCAGTGCATGAAGTTCTCTGGAGGCATGGTTCTGGGTTAACACGGATGTGGTGTTGGTCTGGAATTGTAGCAGTCCCAAAGTGATGGCCTTCAGCGGGGAGCTGTGGGAAGAGCGGTGGGCAGACTACAGGTCTGAGCTCAGATTCTGTTTCTTACGCACTGACCAGATTCTGTTCACAGCAGCAGGTGGATGCCATCGTGACTGGAAGACCATTCCAACCTTGAAGCGTTACAGCGATAGCATATCCTATCCAACCGTACTAACGTGGACACCCACACCTCCCCTCAGAACTTCTAAAGGGCAAGATCTTTTTTTCTTCACTTACTGCTGAAACCAAGAGCACAATCCCCACTAAGAGAAGGCTCTATGCTGTAACTGAGCAGACTGTGCATTCCTCCCGGGGCCACTGTCTTTGTTTTCTTTTTTGTCTTGGATGAATCTTAAAAGGAAATACCACAATAAAAATGTTAACCAGAAGGTACCCTGAGTGTGACTGAGACAGATACGCCTCTTCACCAGTTCACTTGAATTTAGACCAGTGATCCTGGTTTGTGGCATTCATGCAAACCAAGATGGGGACTTTGTTATCTTGTAGTTGTTTCTAAATATCAAGTCGTTGGTAGCCGGGTTTTGGAAGCATTCTCACATTTCCTTCTTAAATATATTCCTTCATGTTCAGTAGTTAACAGAACCAGAGCAAATGGCAGTCTGACCTGTCAGTGACTCAGTTCCGTCCCTGGCTCTTTATTTTTGTCTCATGTCACAGATAACTGTTGCACACAAACATGGCATAGTAGAAGAGGAAAATTCAGAAGCGAAGTAGCCAAGCACATGTTGTGATGGCCACCAGTGCTTGGTTAGAGTCCTTCCCCTTTGCTGAGCAGTGAACTCACACCTGGCATCCATCCCTTCTGACCTGTCCTCCCACCACCTAGTTTCTGCTCTTACCTTGGGTTTCCTGTGAAGCTGAAGGGAAGTTTGTAGTCATGTGACACTGGCCGTCCACCCTGCCGTCAGGGGCTTGTTTTCCAGAGATGCCTGTCCTGTGCTTGGATAGTCAGTTGGTTATTTGTGTATGAAACAATGTACAAATCAATGTTTTGAAAATAATGATCTCAAACTTTCTAAGTTAAATTTTAAACAATTTGATTGTTTGCCATATTGGGTGGGTTTACTCTTAGAATCGCATGCTGTAGAAATGCTCTAAAGTGCACATAGGACTCAGTCCTTAGATGTTCTTTTTCTTTTAAGAAATAACCTCTTAAAGTTGTAACCGTGGCGGCTCTGTCCATTACTGTTGCTACTCTGCACATATATCGGAAGCAGCAAGCGCTCTACACGCTTGAATAGTGGGATAAGTCAGTTTTCTTTACTTTAAAGACAAACAAAACAGTCCTGTTGGGAATGATCGCTGTTGGAATCCGGTTGGGGGAGCCGCCTGCTGCCTCTTGGCCACTTTCTAGACGCCTGCCTCCATGAACAGCCTTTTGCGTCTGAGGCAGACCCTTTTTACACCATGCAGATCTTTGTGGTTTTCATCTCGAGCCATGTTCAGCAGCAGCATTTGGACAGCAGTGTTCTATGGGCCCCCAACCCCATATCCTGCACCCCCCACCCTCACCTTTCCACCCCCCATCCCTGTAACCTGCACCCCTCATGCAGCAGTAGTGGCTTCGCCATCCTGTTTTCAGCAGCGTCCTGTACAAAACTGTGCTGTGACTGTGCGGTAGGCCTGGACCTGGCAAAGAGAACACAGCGAAGCCCCTTCTCTGTCCACCAAACGACTCTGTAGAGCTCTGCACCTGTGCCCTTCTCACCTTTTGTATTTAATTTTGAAGTCCGTGTACTGCAAGGGGGCTGGATGCAAGGTAGATACCATATTAAACTGTACTGTTATTTAAGATGTAATAAAGCAGTTTGACATGAGGGACTCTGGAGTGATGGTTATTCTCTGGTTCATTTCAGGGTGTTTAGGTAGCTGCCTGCCGCCCTGGTTGTTGGCTCACACTGTCATGCCCATCATGGGAGACGTGTTTAAAACTGTCAGCCCTCAGAGGTTCCTGGGCTGCTCTATGACCTAGACCTGCAGAGCAGTGAGGTCTTTTTCTTGCCACCCAGACCCTTCAGGACAGGCAACTCTTCCCCTTTGGACCCTTGCCCAAGGTTCTTAGTGTTTCCCTGGGCTCTGTGTGTTACCTCCTCCTCTGACCTCTACCAACCAGATGCCCTGGCTTCCTCTTCCTGTTTTCCCCACTAAAATATCCGAGAACCTAGCCCTGTTTCCTTCTCACTGAGCAGCATTTCCTTCTCTGTCAGTGAAGGTACTGTATCTTGAAAGGGGAAGTGAGCATCAGCTCCAGAAAGCAAAGCCTTAGGCTGCTGGGGAAACACCATTCTAGCCTTCACCATCCGGCCACTGCAGTGTTTTCTAGGCTAAACGGCACAGGGTTTCTTTTTGTTTTTTGGGTTTTTGGTGGTTTTTTTTGGGGGGGGGTTGGGGGTTTTTTGGTGTTTTGTCTTTTTTTTGGTTTTGGTGGTTTTTTGTTTTTTTTTTGTTTTTTTTTTTTTTTTTGACACAGGGTCTCCCTGTAGCCCTAGCTGGCCTGGATTCACTATGGAGAGCAGGCTGGCCTCAAACTCACAGAGATCCAAGTGCTGGGATTAAAGGCATGCACCACCACGCCCGATGGCATCACAGCACAGTTTTTAATTCTTGAGTTTTAAGACTATATAGATAGGACTGGAGAAAGGGCTCAGCATTAAGGGTTTGGTTCCCAGAACCCACATGGTGGCTAACATCCACCTGCATCTCCAGTTTTGGGGGATCCAACACCCTCTTCTGGTCTCCTCAGGCATGCATGTGGTATACTTACATGAAGGAAGAACACTCATATAATGAAATAAAAACAAATGAAATCTTTTTTTTCTTGGTCTTTTTTTTGAGACAGGATTTCCCTGTAGCCCAGCTAGCCTTGAACTCTCAGCGATCTGCCTGCCTCTGTCTCCTGAGTGCTGGGACTAAAGGCGTGTGTCACCACACCCAGCCATGAAATCTTTTTAAAAATTTATGTGTATGGGTGTATTGCCTGCATGTATGTAAGTGCACCCTTGAGGTGCATTGCCCTTGGAGTCAGAAGAGAGTGTGTTAGCCACCATGTGGGTGCTGGGAATTGATCCTGGGTCTTCTGTAAGAAAGAGCAGCTGGTGCTCTTAACCGCTGAGCCATCTCTCCAGCCCCATAAATCTTTTTTTCTTTCTTTTTTTTTAAATTACAAGCCTTTAGTCCCAGCAGGGGGCAGGCAGATCTCTGTGAGTTCAAGACCAGTCTGGTCTACATAGTGAGTTCCAGGTCAGCTGGGGCTACAGGGAGACCCTGTCTCAAAAAAAAAAAAAAACTTTGCAATTTTTCAGGGCGCCTATGCTATGAAGAATGGCCTTTGGGACTGCCTGGGCCAAGACTCTTTGTTGAATGGAAAGCGGACCAATTCACTTGAAGCTAGTGGTGCCCACTTACCACTTATCCACCCCCTTCCAAAGTGACTTTCCTGATGTTCTGGGTGGGGTGACCTGCTGATGTTGCAGGCTGTGGTGATTGGGAGATGGGTTTGCCTGGCTTTATCCTCTCCTACTCTCTGAAATCCATCTGTTCTTCACAGACACAATCCCTTTACAAGCCTTTACCTACCCCAGAACCCATGGAGAAAGCAGAGCACCCGAGGCATTTCTGAACTGGAGAGAATATTGGTCCAGTTAGCCTCACTTGGCATTCCAGTTCTGCCCTCTGGGAATTTCATGTACTGCCTGCTTCTACCCTGACTCCCAGGAGACCCATGGAGTGGGCAGGTGGCTCTCCCCTTGCCTCAGAAGGGCTGGCAGCTGATGGCTTCTCAGCTAACATCAAGGCCACTGCCCAGTTCAACAAGCAGGCAGTGCCCACAATGAATATGTGGAGAGCAGCACTGGCCAGGCACAATGCAAAGGGTTACCTCCATACTGACCAAGCTACAGTTTTCAGACCAGTATTAGGTTCAGTTTTGCACTGTGTGTATCCACATTAAATACCATGAATGTTCAGCAGGGATGGCTGGGAGATGCCTAACCCTGCTGCTCTCCCTGTATGTAGTCACTTGGCCCCCTGCCTGGTGGGGGGAGGTGGCTGGGTGACCAGTGCAGGTTAGTGTCACATCATCTGTGACCCTCCATGGCAACAGGATTCCAAACAGGATTTCTGAGTCCCATAGGCTAGGAAACTGAGGGGCCCCTGAGTAGCAGCACCTTAACCTGCTTGCTCAACTCCAGTTCTTTGCATCCTGCCTCTCCAGTTGTCCCTACACCCCCGTCAGTGCTCCTGGCACCATCAGACAATTCCATACCCCTAAGAATCCAGACTAGCTAGTGGCCAATCACCTCTGCCCTTTCTCACAGGGTGATCTTGGGCAAGTCATTTGGCCTGTGCCTCAGGTTCCCCATATAAGAAACAGTAAATGCCTACCTGGAAGGGATTTTGTGGGAACAAAGTGCCTGGTATGAAATCACTGCCCATGGGGCTGCCCAGCCCAGATTCCTGCACCCACTGTTGCCCTGGCCTGAGACACCTGTCCCAAGTATCCTAGGCAAGGCTGGACCCCAACCTCCCTAGCCCCTCTGACCACCCCACCAAAAGGTGGCCCCTGATAGCTCACCCCTTCTCTGTGGAATCACTGATGTGCCTGGCATGGTTGGTGAATGGACAGTGTTGCCCCTTGACTAGCCCAATCAGGAGATTGTCAAGTGTGCCATTCTGGACACTGACCCCTGAAGGAGGCATTTGTAATGCCAGGTAGGACAGCCCCAGGTTGCTCCCAGGCCAGGGAAGCTGGTCTTTACCTTTGTCATGTGTGCACTAATGGAGGCTGGATAAGATGACCTTGCTGGGCATGGTGGTACACGCCTTTAAGCCCATTACTTGGGAGGCAGAGGCAGGCGGATCTCTCTGAGTTCAAGGCCAGCCTGGTCTACACTGCAAGTTCCTGGCCAGCTGGAGCTACGGGGAGACCCTGTCTCAAAAAAGACAAAAAGATAAACTTGCAAGATGCTAAGCTCCTCCACAAGACTCCATCTTTATTATCACCCACCTTTTGTGCGCTGGACCCTCCACTCAAGACCTGTTCATCTCAGCCGGGTCAGGTGAAGCCAACTTTCCCACCTAGTACTGAGGTAGGACCCAAAAATGTGCAGGTGCCCCCTATAACTGTGCCTGAGAGCTTGCCTGTCCTCAACCCCCCCCCCCCGCCACCCCAGTGACAGCCTGGCTCTGGGTACAGCCCTATCCTGTTTACCCACCCCCTCACAACCCACTTCTCCCTCTACCCCCTCCATTCAGCCCTTAAAAGAGGGTAAGTCCAGACCTGAAGCATTACATGGGGGCCACGTTTAAGAGAACACAATACTAAATTACCCTAACAGGTCAGTCAGTCCACAACTTACCAAGAGAAGTGGGACTGGGTTGCATCGTCCCTGCTACTAGCCCCTCCCAGGTAGAGCTTGACTTGAATTTCCTCCATGCCACCTCACCCCATGTGGCTTTGATCCTGCTGTTACTGCCATGGGCTGGCCTTCCCTTTGGGTCTAGCCCAAATTAAACACTGGGAACCTTGGGGTGCCCTCTGGCTGCTCCCTGCCATGGACTTGCTCCCCTGCTCATTCTTTTTTCTTCTTTAATTTTTTTATGTGTATATTGTCTGCATGTGTACAGGTGCACCCGTGTTGTGCAATGCTGGCAGAGGTCAGAAGGGGATGTCAGATCCCCTGGAATTGGAGTTACAGATAGGTTGTTAGCCACTGTGTGGGTGCTGGGAATCGAACCTGAGTTCTCTGCAAGGGCAGTCAGTGCTCCTAACTGCTGAGTCATCTCTTCAGCCCCCAACTGCCACTTATTCTCTGAGTCCTTGGGGTCTGGTGGGGCCAACATTGCACAGTCAGCTGAAGGGAGCTACAGCCATGTTTCCTCATCTGAAATGGGGACGACAATTGCACAGGCCAGGCCACACCAACAGGTAAAGAAGAGTCCCTTAGCAACCATTGGACACCTGTTACTTTACTTTGGAGAGCACAGAAAGGATGCTTGATGTGTGACCTCGGACTGAGGACCACAAGCTCCGTGCCTCTTCAGAGACAGTTGACTCTTCCTACTGTAGAAACTTCAGGCCCTGGTCCTGTGCCTGGCATGTACCACTAGGTATCAAGTATTCTCACAATACAATAACATCCAAAAGTTCAGCTCGGGCCTGTAGTCTGGCTGGAGTTCACTTTGGGGAAGGAGTGAGGCTTACAAAACAACCCATGGGGGAAGTTACACAGTTTAAGTAATCCTCCCCACCCCCATGCCAGTCACCTTTGGCGTTCCCACTGTGCACTGATCTTTTATGGAAGGACAGGACACAGGCCTCAGGAGTCCCCATGGAAAACAGCCTGATCTCATCAGGTATGGGGGCAAAGGGGAGCCTGGAGATAGGGCTGTACAGGAATGGCGGGGCCAGGTGTGCCAATCTGGGCCACCTGGAGCACGGAGTGAACATCTGTAAGCCATGCTGGTGTTTGGAGCCAGTAGACTACAAAACAGCTACAGGCACAATTGTCCAGGCCAGTTTCCCCTGGGATCCAAGATGAAGGAGCCCTGGCACACTGGTAGACATCTAAGGCCTGATGTATGGTGCCCACCACCTCAGCATGATCCAAGATGGGCCCGGCCCATCCTTACAGTTGTTAGCTGCCATGCGGGTGCTGGGATTCGAACCCGGGTCTGTTGGTCTTCCCATGAGCCTCCCTCCTTCCCTGCTCTCCAGGCTTTTAGTGGGGCATCCTTCGGTGGTCACCACACAGGAGACACCCCAAGTTGTCAAGCTCTTTACTGGCAGTTTTAAGACACCCAGGCCCGGCTCTGCCAGTGTGAAAGGGTGCCAGGTCGCTGGTGATGGGCTCAGGTGGGCGCAGGTACACCAGGCACAGAGGCGGCGTCCGAATTCTGGTCCCGAATACTGCCAGGTCAATGCCATGGTCATTAAGAGCGGCAGCTGCGGGCAGGACGCCCGGCACAACTCATGCGGGGGTGGCAGCCCACCAAGCTGGCCGGCTTCGGCCGGGGCCGGCGTGGCTCAGGAGGCCTCAGGCGAGCAGGGAGGGGCACAGGGCAGGGATAAAGGTCTGGCGGCCAGGCGAGGAGGGGGATGTGAAGGTGGCGTCCCGGCTGTGGGGAAAGCAAAGCCCAAACCTTCCGCTCCCGCCCCTTCTCTGGCTTTTGCCCGGCTTCCCTTTTGCCTTTTCCCTTCTGCCCTCCTTCCCTTTCTGCAGCGGCTCCCCGCCCCCACTCGCCCTATATTACCTCCACCTCTGCCCCACTTCCCTCCCCTCTTGTGCTGCCACACCGCTCTCCCAGCCCCCCTTCCGCCCCGCCTCCCTGTCTACCCAGCCACCTCCTCCTCTTCCCCTCCTCCCTCGGCCCCTCTTCCTCCTCCTCCTCCTCTCTCCCTCCTCCCTCTCTGCCCCGCCTTCTTCCTCTGTACGCCGCCTCCTCCTCCTTCTGCGCCCGCCCCAGGCCCCGACTGTAGACGCCTGTGCGCGTCGCGGGTTCAGTGTCCATCTGGCAGCCACTGCCCGGTCCAGCCCACATGCTCCGTGGCGCATGCGTAGTGCGCGCACTTGCGCACTGGTAGCCGCGGCGCAGTGCTGCTTGGCGGCGCCGGCGCCGGGAAGGAGCGGCCATGGGCGGGCAGACGGCGGGGTCGCCGCGGGCCAGGTAGCAGAGGGGCGGCGGGCCCGTGGCCTTAACCCGGCATGTAGACGGCCAGCGCGCGGCAGCGGACGGTGAGTGCTGGGCTGAGTCGTCATCCTCCCGGCGTCACTCGCCGCCTGGGCCCGCGGAGGGCTGGGCACCCCGCCGGCCCTGCCCACCTGCTCGCGGTGGACGACGGAGGGCCTGGCGGTCCACCATCCATCCGAATGTGGCGTGGGCTGCGGCCAGGGAACGGGCCTGGGGACAGTCTGGGGGTCCAGCACGGGGACAAGCCTGGGGGACAGTCTGAGGGTCCCGCATGGGGACAGCCCTGGGGATAGTCTGAGGATCCAGCATGAGGATGGGAGGCCTGGGGGACAGGTCTGGGAGTCCAGCACTGGGATGGGACTAGGGGGACAGGTCTTAGGGTCTGGCACTGAGGATAGGCCTGGGGAGCCCACTGGTTATCCTCCCCCTAGGCTGTTCTGGCCCTGGCTTGTTCAGTCCAGGGCACCACTGCTGTCTCAGCCAGGAGAGGCCTTAACATAACGAAAACTCAGAAGCCCAAAGCTAATGGAAGGGAGTGAGTTACTGTTCTATAAAGCAGTCTGGGTGTGGAGTTCTCTAAAATCACATTTTAAACCTAGTACCCAGTACTTGCCAGAAAATTCCAAAGTCCTTAACAGTCCGTGTTCGTAGGGGCAGTGGCCTCTCATGACCCAGTTGTGGCACCCACAGGCCGTGGTTGGGTCTTGTGTTCTGGCAGCTTTCTTAGTTGTGGGAACAATCTCTGGGACTGACAGTCTCCCTTAGCCAAGAACCCGCCTCCCTCCCCAGCTCCCTCCCCAAGCAATGGGCTTTCTTCTGGCTGGGATTCTGAGTAGCAAGTTATTTTTCCTTTCCTGTTTTGGAACCGGCTCAGTTTTAGTTCAAAACTTTTTCATTCTTCCTGGCTCTTGAGAGGAATGCTTTCCAGAGCTACATTCATTTGTCCCCGTGGCGCTGCTGGCTTTCAGAGGCGGATGCTAGCCTACTTGACTTACTGATTTTAGCATCTTGTAGGATGACACACTTCAGAGACCCCCTCCCCCCACCCCAAATATTATCCTCCTGAACCCCTCCAGCCCTTAGAACTTCTTCCTGTAGCTTTTGTCCCCAGCAGTCACCTCCCCGTGACTATTGCACCCCACCTTGGTCTCTAGGACAGTGACAGGTGTTGTGCACTGCCTAACCAGGCAGCTTCTTGGAGGTAGCATCTCAAGGTTTCTGCTTTTACTCCTTTGTGGATTTATGTTGCTAAAAAAATTGTCAGGGTTGCTGTTTTGTTCATTTCATGTCTTTTGTTTGATATGCTACAGATCCAACCCAGGACCTCAGACATGATCAACAGGTGCTGTTCTGCTAAGCCACAGCCTCCCAACACCCAGGGTTGAGGTAGCTAACAGATAAGACAGCAGTGCTTGGGATTAAGTTATTTAGCACTCTTAAGCTTTGCTTGAAGAGTGGAGAGAAGCAGATGGCTTGCTCTTCCTTCCTTCCTCCCTCCCTTTTTCCTTTTTAAAAATATTTATATTGTGTGTCTGTGTTTATGACTTCCAAGATTTGGTTCTCTCCTCCCACTCTGTGGATTCCAGGGATCAAACTCAGGTCATCAGGATTGGCAGCAAGTGCCTTTATCTGCACAGCCATTTCACTGGTCCTTTTTTTTTCCTTTTTTGAGAGAGGGTCCCAAGCTGACTTTTAAATTCCCTATATAGCCAAGGATGACTTTAAACTTTTGATCCTCCAGTATCGGCCTCCATGCTGGGATTATAGGCATGAACCACCACATCCAGTTTTGTTTTATGTGAATGCTGGGAATCAAACCCAGGGCTTTGTGCATGCTGGGCAAGCAAGCACTCTACCAACTGAGCTATGTCCCCAGGCCCCAGGAGATTTCATGCTTCAAAATTTTAAATTTTTTTATTTACGTATATGTGTGTATGTCTGTGGGTAGGTGTCATGACATGTGAATGTAATGCTTGTGGAGGGAGGAGAAGGGTGACAGATCCCCTGGAACTGTAGTTGTGAGCCACCCAACATGGGTGCTGGGAATCACACCCTGGTACTCTGCAAGGGCAGTACGTGCTCTTAACTACTGAGCCATCGTCCCTCCAGGCCCCCAGGTGTTTATTTTTAAGGGAATGGGCTTACCCACAGCTTTTATCACTTCAGATGTTTGAAGGGCAAGAGGGTGGCCTGTGCCTCCCCTTTCAAGTTAGCAATCACTACATGGTTCTAACCGTCCTGGATAAGTGTCTCTTAGAACCCCAGGAAGCCATGCCTGTTGACAGAACTTTTGCAAATGAACAGCAGTAACACAGATGGACATCCAGGCCTTTTGTTCAGTCTCAGTTCTGGACAGATGGCCATGTGCCAATTAGGCTTCTCGGGGCTCCATAAAAACCCAAAAGGGCAGGATTTGGAAAACTTACAAGTAGCTAAAGACATGGAGGCTCATGAAGGGCCGTGCCCAGGCTGGGCAGCAAAGCTTAGTACCCTTCCCATTCCTGACCCTGTGGCCCACTGCATCTGTACTCTTTGTCATAAACCAGCAGGTGTGTTCCCTGGGCTTTGTGAACCACTCTAACAGTGGAATCCAAAGAGGGGGTTATGGTTTACAGCCCATTATTCAGAAGCACAGGATGGTACATCCTAGGACTTGTGATGGGTACTAAGCCTTCAACCTGGGATAATGGAGGTGCTTAGGCAAGCTCCTAGGTTTGAATCCTGAATCCTCCCCATTCTCCCCCACCCCTCAAAAGGGGCCTGGGGTTATAGCTCAGTAGGTAGAATATTTGCCTAGCTTGCATGAGACCTTGGATTCAGTCCCCAGGCCTGTGCTCCTTCAGCTGTCTGCCTGGTATCCCTGGTAACCCTGCACCTTTTTCCCTGGCCTGGGAAGAGATGCGCTTGTACCTAGGAACAGTGTGTGTTGTATGTGACTTGTCATCTTTTCCTTCATTAACTCCCTCTAGGAACCTATTTGTTTCAGTGTTTCATGGTTATTGTAATATTTTAACCTTTCATGTTACAACTTAGCTAATTGGGTCCTTTAAGCTGGCTTTGCCCTTTTTTGGAGACAGCTTGTTCTAAGCCCGGAATGGGCACTTGGCAGAGCTTCAAGAAGCCAAAGTTATGTTGAGTAAGGAAGAGCTTTAGAAACCAAATCTAGGACTGGGGAGTAGCTCAGTTGGTAAAATACTTGCCAGGCAAACACGAGACCTCAGTGTTCTATCCCCAAAACCTACATAAAAAGGTAGGTGTGGCATACATTTGTAATCCCAGCACTGGGAAGATAGGTGGATCCGTGAAGCTCACTGGCCAGCCAGCCTGGCCAGCCTGTTAAACTGTTCTCATACTTTTAAAATTCTGAATTCCTGGGCCTGGAGAGATGGCTCAGCAGTTAAGAGCGCTGGTTGTTCTTGTAAAGGACCCAGGTTCAGTTCCCAGCACCCACATGGTACCTAGCAACATCTGTAACTCCACTGCCAGGAGATCCAGTGCTCTCTTCTGGCCTCTGCAGGTACTGCACAACATGGGTGCATTTACATAGTGCAGGCAAACTGCTCATACACATAAAATAAAAATAAATAATTTTTTAAAAATCCTGAATCCCGATTTCACGCTAACATTACCAGATTCCTTTTTGTTTCAGCAAATATACTTCAGGGCCGGGTGTGGTGGCACACGCCTTTAATCCCAGTGCTTGGGAGGCAGAGGCAGGTGGATCTCTGTGAGTTCAAGGCCAGCCTGGTCTACATAGTGAGTGCCAGGACAGCTGGGGCTACAGGGAGACCCTGTCTCAAAAAGACCAAAAAAAAAAAAAAAAAAAGACCAAAAACAGGGAGCTGGTATCTCCACACAACACACAGATACAAATGAGGGGTCTGTTTCTGGATGGTCTCTTCTGTTTTTTGGTACTGGAATTGAGCCTGGTCAGCATTCTAACACTGAGCTGTATCCCCAACCACTTTATTACTTTGAGACAGAGTTTTGCTAGGTTGCCCAGGCAGGTCTTTAACCTGTGATTTCCTACCTCAGCCTCTCAAGTAGCTAGAATTACAGGCTTGTGCTGCTCTTGGCTGTTCTGGTTTTGTTTGTTTGCTTTTTAAGAGAAAAATTTGGTATGTATGTAGACCTGGCTGGCTTCAAGTTTACAGTGATCCTTCTGCCAAACCCTTCCTCTGATCCATTTGATTTAGGTGGGACATAGAAACTGGTGTTTGTATGATTGTAAAATAGAGCCAGGGTGAGAACCACAGCAGCTATTCCCTGAACCCCTCACTTTTGACCTTAACATGGGGCCTAAGGCTTGTCCATTCTAGTGGGCTTTCCTCTGATGTGAAGTCTCTTCAGTGAGCAGCAGGGTGAAGTGGTAAATAAGGAGAGGGAGCACAGAACCAAACACTCCTTCCCACCAGAGAAGAGTCAGTGCAGGGTGAAGCAGCACTGTGGTCCAGATGCTTCACCTTTTTCCCGTTGGTACTGGGGAATGACCCCAGGGCCTCACTCTAGCTAGCAGGTGCCCTACCACTGAGATGCACTCCCAGCTCTTTTATGAGACAATCTCTTTAAGTTACCCAAACGGGCCCACTGAATGCTTGAAGTATATTGGAGCCCTAACAACCACTGTGGCTGTATTTGAAGACAGGCCTTTGAGGAAGTGATTAAGATTGAAGTGAGTCACAGGGTGTGGCCCTGGTGATCATTGGTGCCTTTATAAGAGATGCCAGAGGTCTCCCCTCCCCCCTCGGGCCTGCCCACCACAAGCACAAAGGGAGGTACAGACAAATAGGGCTCTCTCCCAGTGAGTGCCTGGTAACTTGGACTTCGGCCTCCTGGACTGTGAGGACATAACTGTCCTCCACTGAACCATCCCGTCACTGCTGTTCATTCCCAGGAAATCCATCTCAGTTCCAGGGGGGCACCAAATAGGCTTTGGCTTCAGTTTGCCTGGCCTCACGGTCTGGCTGTTCCTCATGTGGAGCTGTTCTGGAGAAAGTTAAAAACTCCCAAGTGGATGGAGCTGTTTCCTGTTTCTACTTTGTCTTTTTTTGGTTTTATTGATCTATGGTCAGGACCATGTACCTTCACATTTGGAATTTGACGTTTTCTTGGGGATTAGTCCACCTCGGTTCTGACGAGCAGTTCATTGGCACCAGGCTGAATCTGTGGACTGTGGGTATACCTGTCTTCCACTTCTCAGGGTGGGATGGGATGCATGCCTCAGTGTTTCTCCTCTCATGTGCTGTTCTCTACACCGTGACTTTCCCTGTTTTTGATCTTACCTGTTTGGCCCCTAGGGCTGCCTCCTGGTACGCTTTGCCCACCCCTTCCAGGACAACCCTTTTGTCTGGTTTGTGATGGAAATGCCACACCTCTGGCTCAGTTATTTTGTCCTTACTCTACACTCTGTAGCAACAGTTCAGAATTGGTTCAGAAACACCCGTGAGTGCCAAGGGGGAGGCTCCACCTGGCTGCGTGCACTTAGCTAGAACTGGGGAAAATAACCACTGAGAGATCCTGCATTCCTAGATATGTTTGGTGTGAAAAAGCCTTATTTCCAAATAACTTTGGAAAATGGAAACTCAGCATTTTTTTCCTGTCCCATGTGACTTTTCCTGGGAAGTCTCTTTCTGTTCACTCAGAAAGAGCATTGGCAATGATCCCACCCAAGCCCAGTGTGGAGAAGCAGCAAGTTTGTTAGAGTTACTTACAGGAGGTGGGGTGACTTGGGAGCTGCCTCACTGCAGTCTCCTCTTCCCAGCCTAGTCTCTGCCTAGAAAGCCTTGGGGCAGGGCCATGAGCCTTCCCCTCCCTCCACAGGGAATGTTAATAGGCCAGTGTCTTGAAGGTCTTGTGAGAGCCTTGTGCTGGTGATGGCAGCTGCTATGACGCAGGCCAGCAGGGGTCACACCCAGCGTTCCGCTTTGTGAACTGAATGTGTGCTTCCACGGTCTCACGTACATGTGAGCGTGTGCTTCCACGGTCTCACGTACATGTGAGCGTGTGCTTCCACGGTCTCACGTACATGTGAGCGTGTGCTTCCATGGCCTCACGTACATGTGAGCGTGCGCTTCCACGGTCTCACGTACATGCGAGCGTGTGCTTCCACGGTCTCTCGTACATGTGAGCGTGTGCTTCCATGGCCTCACGTACATGTGAGCGTGTGCTTCCACGGTCTCACGTACATGTGAGCGTGTGCTTCCACGGTCTCACGTACATGTGAGCGTGTGCTTCCATGGCCTCACGTACATGTGAGCGTGCGCTTCCACGGTCTCACGTACATGCGAGCGTGTGCTTCCACGGTCTCTCGTACATGTGAGCGTGTGCTTCCATGGCCTCACGTACATGTGAGCGTGTGCTTCCACGGTCTCACGTACATGTGAGCGTGTGCTTCCACGGTCTCACGTACATGTGAGCGTGTGCTTCCACGGTCTCACGTACATGTGAGCGTGTGCTTTCACGGTCTCACGTACATGTGAGCGTGTGCTTCCACGGTCTCACGTACATTGATTTTTTTTTTAATAAAGGCATCGGCATTTTTCTCATTTATCGATTATGGAAATGGAACGAGAAAAGATGAACGTGAGTAAGGAGTTGAGTCCTGACTCAGCCTCGTACCACTGCTCAGCGTGTCATGGGGATGAGACCTGGAACTACAGTTACCCCATCCGGGGCCGGGCAAAGTCTCGGAGCCTGTCAGCCTCGCCTGCCCTGAGCAGCACCAAGGAGTTCAGGTAGGACCAGGAAGGATGCCGTGCTGGGTCTGTTCAGATCCTCCAACACAAGACACAGCTTGTATCAGTGCAGATCAGCAGTGCTTCGTTTGAGTCTTGCCCAGAGGATGGGGCTAGGCACTTCCCAAGTGGTACTGACCTGAGAGGAGGGATCAAGCCTGCCCACCAGACTCCTGCGGGGCACATATTCTCAACTGGTGTGTGCCAGATGCAGAACATGCCATGTTCTCCTTTCTGCCTCAGCACAGACTAGCCAAGCCCGTGCTGACCTGGGATGAACTGATGAGAAATCATGGTATTGCTCACTAAAAGACAGGAGGGATGGTGGAACAGGGGTGCTGGTGTGCCCTGGAGCCCTCAGATCGTCATGTGTAAGACATGGGGTCTCAGGTGCGGGGTGTGGGGCACTGCCTTCCCTAATTGCCAAGGCACCTGTGGAGGAACACTGCCCATGGAGCAGTGCTAAAGCCTCAAGGGAAGGTCACCTGACAAGCACAGGATGCTCCAGACATCAGGGAGTGTTCTCCTTCCTGGTGACAGTAACTGTTAAATTTTAGATAGATGCCTGGCAGAGTCTAGCATTGACTCTGAAATAAGGGTCACACCTGTGAAATGCAAAGACAGACTTTCTGGTGAAAAGCCATTTTAAAAGCACATGGTCTTAGGCTGGAGAGATGGCTTAGCTCTTGCAGAGGATCCAGGTTCAATTCCCAGCACCTACATGGCCAGCTAACAGCCATCTGTAACTCCAGTTCTAGGGGATGCACATAGTTAGTGCACTTTCATACTTGCAAGCAAAACACTCATACACATAAAATTAAAATCTTCCCCAAAGCCGGGCGGTGGCTCACACCTTTAATCCCAGCACTGGGAGGCAGAGGCAGGCAGATCTCTGTGAGTTCAAGGCCAGCCTGGTCTACATAGTGAGTTCCAGGACAGCTGCGGCTACAGGGAGGCCCTGTCTCAAAAAAAGACCAAAAAATAAAAATAAAAATAAAAAAATCTTTTCCCCCAAAAAGTGCCAGGTGTTGTGTTACATGCCTTTAATCCCAGGAGAGCCAGGCATATTGCTGTGAGCACAAGGCCAGTGTGGTCTATTTAGCAAGTTTCAGGCTAGCTGGGGCTACAGGGAGACCCTGTCTCAAACAGACAAAAAGCACACAGTCTTTTCTGTGAGGTAGAGTGACCTGCAGAGCCCCCCCAGTGGTGGCATGGAGGGACGGGGGCCTGCCGCACGTTCTGTGTGTGAAATTCTGTGAGAGGTATCGGTAGCACCTTCCCCCTGGGTACACAGCCAGTCAAAGTGGCCTCTACTACCTATGCCCTCACCCCATATTTGTTCCCCATCATGCCAGCACAGAGACTGTGGCTCTGGGCAGAATTGCCTCTGAGTTTGTGGTTATGCGTTTTGGCATAACACATTATTTCTGTTCCAGGGACAATGAACTCGTAAGAGTGGCCATAGGTCAGGGGCAGTCTCTATAGTGGGTGGCAGATGCCATGGGGTGATGTGGGGATGAGCGAGTTTTCCCATGCAGCCTCTCCTTTAAGGATAGGTGTAATGTCAGTGCTCACAGCCTTGTCTTCTGAAAGCCCTAAACCCCTTGTCTACTAGCCTTTAACTTCCACAGACGTTCTGTATAACTTTCTAAAGGCTTATGTTGACAACCCAGGCATGGTACTCATACTTGTAATCTCAGCACTCAACAGGTTGAGGCAGGAAGATCACAAATGTAAGGCCAGCCTTGTCTCCAAAAATAAAAGAAAGAAAAGGTAAAACCTAGGGCTGGGAGAGATGGCTCAGTGGTTAAGAGCACTAGCTGCTCCTGCAGAGGACCTGGGTTTGATTCCCAGCACCCACATGGCAGCTAACAACCATCTGTAACTCCAGTTCCAGGGGATCCAGTGCCCTTTTCTGACCTCAGTGGGTATTACTACCCCCCCATAGATAAATAAGCTGTTTTTAAAAAAGAAAAAGAAAAGGGAAAACCTTATGGAAATAAATCTAGCACATGTTTTGTCCAGAAAGGCCTGCAGCACCCGGATGCCCCCTCCAGTACTGTCAACGGTCCAGTCTGGCCAGGCTCCATGACCCTGGACACTGCCCGTCCCCCAGGAGGCAGGGCGGTCTTTCATCTGCGTCATCAGAGTCTAAAGGTTTTGTGGGGCTGGGAGATAGGCGGCTAAAGGGAAAAGCCTGTAGGCTGCTTGCTGGCCTCTCTACTATGAAGAGTCAGTGAGGCCCAAGTAGAACATCGAAAGAGGAGCAGTCACAGTACTGTCTTGGCCTTTGCAGGAGACACTGAACCCCCGAGAAGTGTGGGGAGCTCTGACGCCTCTGTTCTTGGCAGAGGCAGGCTGCAACGAGCCCTATATTTGGATGATCAACTAGCTGGGTCACTTTTCAGGAGGTGGGAAGGCTGGGCTGCTCAATTAGTATCTGTGGTAAGGATACATGTGCTCCAGAGTAAACATTTCTGCCAGAATGTTCATCTAGATTATTCAGGGTGTTGCTAGGTCTTGACTCCCGATTATAGGCCCATAGACCTGCCGAGAGGTACTGCCTTGGGTCCTGGGCTTGTGCCAGGCTGGTATTTTCCTGGCTCTTACTAGGCCTACACCCTTGCAGGTCTAGGATCAGTGTCCGAGGGAGTGTGTCCAGGTTAGCTTCTGTGTCTCGTTGCTCCACAGGAACCTGGCAGCAGTAAGCCCAGCACAGCACCTGGACCAGGGCAGGATCTTCTGGACCTGCCACATGAATGCTGTGGATGATGGAGCCTTTTGGGTTTCTTGGAGTCTGGCAGGGCCTGACATAGTCTATGTCTGTCTTGCTGCCTGCTCCCTCCTACTCTGACACCAGCTCCCACTGTGTTCCACAGGAGGACGCGTTCTCTCCATGGGCCGTGCCCAGTGACCACGTTTGGACCAAAGGCCTGTGTACTGCAGAACCCCCAAACCATCATGTGAGTATACAAGACTTGGGGGTACATTCCTTGGGAGTGTGTGTTGTGGGATCACTGTTTGAGAGGTCTGAGGCTCAGAGCCAAGTGGGTATCTTTCCAAAATCTATGGTGTTTGGGGGCTCCTAGATGAGGTGTTCAGCTGGGCTTCCCCCGTGGCTTACAAAGACACATACCTTTTGGCATATACCTATAATCCCAGCACTCAGGAGGCTGAGGCAGGAGAATTGCTAGGAGTTCAGGCCAACCTGGTCTACAGAGTAAGATCTTATCTCGGACAAAACAAACAAACAAACAAACAAACCAAGGGAAAAGAGAAAGTGAGTTGGGAGCTGGGAGCTGTGGCCACATGGATGCCAGATTCCTCGGGACTGTGCCTAGCACCCCCTGCCCAGGCTGAGTGGGGTCAGTGTGAGATACTTGGTTGGTTGTTGTTTCCAACAGTGGGAATTTGAGGGTTCTGCATGCTATCCAAATACAGTAGCTCCTTTAATTGTTCCAGAAGTAGAAACATGAATTGGCTTTCTTTTTCAACCTGATTTTAGTTGCTTGAAAGATGCTCTTCATCTGTGCTTGGGCAGGGGGGGTTGCCATACTGGGGGTGGAACCCAGGCCTTGCACGTACCAGACAGGCACTCTGCCCCTGAGCCACACCCCACCCAGCATGCTCCTGGCAGCTCTGTTGCTAGCCAGAATGGTGCCCCAGAATACAAGTTCTTGAGAGCTCCATAGTTAGTTTCATCACGCTCTTACACCACTTCTCCGTCAGTCCAGATTGGAAGGGAAAATGTTTTCCAGTGTGTTCTGCACAGTGATCTAGCTGTGTTTTGTTGCAAGGGAGTAAAAATCCCTAAAGTGAATTGTTATCAGTGTATTGTGTTTGAAAATTTAGAATTGGGGGCTAGTGAGAGATGACTCAGAGGGCTGAGGTGCTTGCTGCCAGCCCTGACAGCCTGAGTTCAGTCTCCAGAACCACATGATCGAATGAGTGAACGTTGTCCTCTGACCTCCACACTCTCACTGAGGCACATGCACACATACACACGTACACATATGTGCATGCCACGTAATATGTTTTGAGAAGACAAGTTAGATTTCATCTCATCCTTTTTCACTTTCCACCTGTAATGCTCTCACTGCCCCTCCTCTAGAGACCTTTGCTGTTTGTGCATCTGGAGTCTGCCCCAGGGTCTCCCTTTATTCAAGGGTAGGCCATGTGAAAGGGCCACATGGTAGATGTGGCTGTTTGGGAGGTGTGGTTGACCTTGTTTAGGTAAAAAGATTAGCCTGAGTGTGTAAAACAAAGACATTCCCTGTTGCTTTTGTTTCATAGGTAGGTGTTGTCGGTGGATGGCTAGTGATGCATGGTGGGGCCAGGCCAGGACAGCTCTAATGTCCCTTCAAACCACACTTGCCCACGCTGCACACCACCATATTCTGGTCTGGATTAGAGATCTGAGCCAAGACTGTGACCCTCCAGCTACCTTTTAGGATGATGCAACATTGCCCATTCTGCCACTGCCAGGTCATCCAAAGAACTGCTTTGCAAACTGCAAGCTGTCAAATACAGTGCTAGTGTGAATTCCAGTATGTGCTGCTGTCATTACTCTGAGCCTTATGGCTAGAGTAATCCTAGTGGGAGTGCTTTTGAAGCAAAACTTCCAGTGCCTGTGTGTTCACAGAGCAGAACTATGGTCTGTGTGGCTGTTGCTGCCAGATGTGTGGCGAGGGATAAAGGGGGCCTGACATGTTCCCTGGTCCTTCTTCACACCTCCAGCAATCAGAGCTGCACCAGCCCCCCCAGGTGTCCCCTAACATCCTCTGCACCCTCAACTCTCTCACATGGCCCAGCCAGGCTCCCCACTACCCAGAGTCCTAGGCACTGTCCTGTCTCCTGCTCCTGGCCTGGTACACATGTGCCTGCACACCACCTTCTGGTGACTACTAGCCTCCTATTTTGCCCAGCAACTAGCTGCCTGCAGTCCATCCCTGCACTGCCTGATACTTGCCTCTCACTTAAGCCTATCCCACAATGTTTTAATTAACTACTTAGACTAGGGCACAGAGTGGCCTCCAAGCCATTCCCGGAGGTCAGGCAGCCCAGGTGGAAACCAGTGAAGCTGTGGGTCAGTGTCCAGGGCAGGCAACTTTCTCTGCTCTGCCTAGGACCATTTGCTCCAGGCTTTTGGGTACAGAGCCACATCACCCAGTGTATATATACGCACCTATACATTCCAATGAAGAGGCACATAACACGTATGTTACAGGGGTGAGGGCGCTGTACATTTCCCAAATACTAAAGACTGAGATGGGGTGGAGAGCTCATTGTGAGGGACTTTTACTGTGAAGGCTGTATTTTGTTTATTGGGATGTGTGAGACTGCCAACCGTTGACAGTTGTGGCTCAGCCGTCATGCATCCCTGGTTAGTGTGGCATGTCCTCAAAGATAGCCCTGGTGGCTCACAGTCCTGCTGGCTCCACACAGCACCCACAGCCTGGAAGGGCCTGCATCCCTCTGCAGATGACCCAACAGGAAGTTGAGGAACTGGTTTGTGGTCATGAGGAGGGCTTGGTGCCTAGCCTGAACAGAACAGCGCTGGTGGCATTTGCTGGGCCCAGCTGAGCTTTGGGGTTGAAAGAGTTATGGGCTGGGCTTGCCTGGAGCAACAGTGACACACAGGCAGGGCAGGCTGCTGGGTGCAGAGTTGGGGCTTAAAACTCAGGTGGGGCCACCCACGCTGCCAGGATCCTAGGCAAGTTCAGGGAGTGAACCTTCCACCTACCACCCTTTCACCTGCAGGTGGCCTGAGAAATCCACCCTGTGGGCGGGCCCAGCCAGTCCCACAGCTTGCCAGTTCCTATAGGGCCAGGATTTTGCAGGCCAGGAGCTGGCTAGGCATTCTTTGCTATTAGAAGTTACCCTAGCAGTTTTCCTTTTTAAAGTGGGTGATTAGGCAAAAAGGCCGTGTAGCCAGTGGGGTATCAACATTTTGTTTTATTTGATTTTCATAATTTTAGGAAGCACTTCTGCAGGAGCTTTGACAAGTCTTTGACGTTTACTTTCAATTTTGAGGTCTCAAAAATGAGGCGTAATGTAATGCACACTTGGGAGCATGATGGCAGGGCAGGGCTGTGCGTACAGCTTCCAGTCAAGCAACTCTGAGATGCTGGGGACACACCCACTGTCTCCTAGAAGGTAGAGACCTTCTCAGGAGCTGTGAGTGATACAGGCAGGTGGGGAGGCTCAGAGAGAAGGCCATGAGTGGTCCCTCCCCTTACAGAAATGGCCGGACCAGGTGAGTGCTGTGACCAGGGTTCTGCTGTCAGTGGCTTGTGTTACAGTTTTGAAAGTTGTTAGTGGATTGTCACTGCCAGGGCAAGGCCTGGCTTGGAGCAGATTTGTTTGTTTGTTTGTTTGTTTGTTTGAGGCCTGGCTGTTTGTTTGTTTGTTTGTTTGTTTGTTTGTTTGTTTTGGTCTTTTTGAGAAAGGGTCTCCCTGTAGCTTCAGCTGGCCTAGAACTTGCTATGTAGACCAGACTGGCCTCAAATTCACAGAGATCCACCTGCTTCTGCCTCCTCAGTGCTGGAATTAAAGGCGTGGGCCACTACTCTTGGCTGGTTATTATTTTTTAAATTATATTTGTGTGTTTTGCCTACATGTATGTAAGTGCACTCATGTCATGCAATATCTGTGGAGGCCAGAAGAGGGCATCAGGTCCCATGAAACTAGAGTTTTATGAACAGTTATCAGCCATCGTGTAGGTGCTAGAAACTGAACCCGGGTTCTCTGGCTCTGCAAGAGCAGCCAGTGCTCTTAACCACTGGGCTGTTTCTCAGCCACCAGAGCAGGTTTCTCAATTGGGGAAATTGTGCTGGACAGAACAATTTCTTTCTGATGGGAACATTCCTGTCACAGCTTCAGAAACTTGCCCTGGGGGCTTCGGAGGGCACTGCGGAGCACTAAGATGACCTAGTCCCATCTACCCTCCAGCAGCTGCTTGGATGGGAGCTATCTGAATGTGTCTCTGCTCAGCAGGCCCTGCCTTTGTAGAAGCAGTGCAGCACATACTGGGTCTGAGGTGTCTGACGGCTGGTGTATCTTGTACAGCTGGGTTAGAGGCTGCAGACCCGACAGGCTGGCGTCAGCTGAGTTTATGCAATGGCGTGCATAGCTGGGCCACACTCCATACATCAAGGAAGCACATGTCCTGAAGTCTCCTGGGTCTGGAAACAGTCCACAGTGGACCCCACAGCAGAGTCTTCAAACTCAGCTGTTCTGTCTCTGGGAAGCTGGTGTCTGTCCTCAGTGGGCCAGAGGAGCCAGCTTGGGCTGTGCACTCTGCTGTTCTTTGTTGTCTCCGTCCACCAGGGAGGGTCAGTAAGAACGGAACATAGCATGTATGGTCAGGCTCATGAAGGTGAGTGGAAGGTGCAGCTGCTGAGCAGGGTGCCCAAGGAGATGTGATCAGAGCCCTGTGGACAGTGGCTAACAGGGTGCGTCTTCAAGGTCTACCAGCTAAGGGCGGTTGCTCTGGACCTATCATGTTTCTGCCTCCAGGCTTCAGAGTGGCTGCCAGCCAGCCTTCATGGGGCCTGGAGCTGAATGCATGTGCACTTTAAGGTTGCGTGCCTCTTCCCAAGGGAACAATGGCTGCTGGTATGAGCCCTCCCTTCTTTTCAAAGGCACATCCAGGACCCTGCAAGCCAGCGGTTGACATGGAACAAATCTCCCAAGAGTGTGCTGGTCATCAAAAAGATCCGTGATGCCAGCCTGCTGCAGCCCTTCAAAGAACTCTGCATGTACCTCATGGAGGTAAGATGGGCAAGGTGGCGACCATCAGTATGCTGTGGGCGTGGTGTGTTTCCATGCAGGAACTGGAGGAGACTTATCCAGTACTGCAGAGTTGAGGACCCAGCAGGCCTCTACTCAGGTGTCTGAGACATTCTAAAAAACACCAGCCCACAGTGCTGGAGATTGAGAAACTCAAGGTGGAGGGGCTGCATCTGGCAAGAGCCTTGTATGTTGGGGGGGAGTTGAACTCACCCTTTTATTTATTTATTTATTTATTTATTTATTTTGGTCCTTTTGAGACAGGGTCTCCCTGTAGCCCCAGCTGGCCTGGATTTGCTGTGGAGACCAGACTGGCCTGGAACTCACAGAGATCCACCTGCCTCTGCCTCCTGAGTACTGGGATTAAATGCGTGCACCACCACGCCCGGCAAACTCACCCTTTTATAAGGAACCCACCCTATAGTAGTGAACCCACCCCAAGGTAACAGCATTGCTAGCTCCCAACACCTCCAGATACTCCACCTCCTAAATCCTGTTGCAGTGGCAATTAAACCTTACCTGAGTTTGGGAGGTATGTGAGTACCTTTCCTGTTACAAGTAACGTAGCTCCCAGTTGAGTAAATTTTAACCAAAAGAGATTTTTTGGCTTATTATTCTGGAGATGCAAATCCAGGGGCTGAGTCTGGTGACGGCTATCTTTCTAGCTGAGCCCCAAGGAATGGGACACATGGCAAGATATGGGTGTGTTCCTGTGGATACACAAATGTCTCTGGTCTTTCTCTCTTCCCATAAATCCACCAGGGTGCAGGGCTGGAGAGATGGCTCAGTGGTTAAGAACACTGACTGTCCTTGCAGAAGACCAGGTTCGAATCCCAGCACCCACATGGCAGCTAACAACTGTCTGTTAGTCCAGTCCCATGGGATCCGACAGCCTCTTCTGACCTCCGTGGGCATTGCACAACACTGGTGCACTTTCGTACATGCAGGCAATACACACATACACATAAAATAAACCCACAAGTGATGAGGCTCTACCCCAATGATTTTACTCCTTATCACCTTCCAGAGGCCCATCTCTGAGCACTACAGATTAAGTTACCACACTTTTTTATAAATACTTTTTTAAATTTTTTATTTATTATTTTTATTTTACGTGTATCCGTGTATTGCCTGCATGTAGGTAAGTGCACCCATGTCATGCAGTGCCCATGGGGGTCAGAAGAGACTGTCAGATCCCCTCGGACTGGTGTTACGGACAGTTGTTAGCTGCCATGTGGGTGCTGGGATTCGAACCCGGGTCTTCTGCAAGAACAACCAGTGTTCTTAACTACTGAGCCATCTCTCCAGCCCCTGCCACACTTTGTGTGTGTGTGTATGTGTGTGTGTGTGTGTTGCCTGCATATATGTAGTTGCACCACCTGCTTGTGATGCCAGTGGAGATCAGAAGAAGGCATTGGATCTCTTGGAACTGGAGTTAGGAATGATTATTAGCCACCATGTGGGTGCTGGGAACTGAAACCAGGTCCTCTGCAAAAGCAGCCAGTGCTCTTAACTGCTGAGTCATGAGTCATCTCTCCAAGCCCCAAGTTGCCACCTTCTTGACACCTCAGAATCCTATTGCCTTGTAGTACGTGACCTGGAGGACCCCTCAAAGCACGTCTAAGCCATAGCACTAGCTATCTAATACCAGAGCCACTGGGATCAGAAAACACCTGATTGGGAAGAGGCCTCTGTGGTGTGGAATGAGATGAGCGGAATAGAATGACCTGCTGGGCTAGGCTATGGGGCTCCCACGTTGCTTTCCTTCCAGGAAAACAGCATGATCGTGTATGTGGAAAAGAAAGTGCTGGAAGACCCTGCTATCGCAAGTGATGAAAAGTTTGGACCAGTGAAGAAGAAGTTCTGCACTTTCCGTGAAGGTGTGTTGTCTTGAGCTCCATCAACTGCTTTGCCAGCAGCGCCTCCAGCATTCTGCCTTGTTGGCATCTGCACGCTTGGGCGCTAGGGCTCTGTGTCCCAGCAGCTCCAGATTCTGTGTCTGCTTTCTAGATTATGACGACATTTCCAACCAGATAGACTTCATCATATGCCTGGGAGGCGACGGCACCCTGCTCTATGCCTCCTCGCTCTTCCAGGTGAGGCTGTGTTTTGGGGTGTTGAGATGTTGTGTGGGTACAACATGAGGAGGTGCTTTCAGAGTGTAAGCCCCTCCTCTTCATCACACAGCTTTATGTCAGAAGGCCACAGTCTCCTCAATGTTCTTACTCTGAAGAGATTGGATTTTTTTTTTTTTGTCAGTTTATTAGCAATAGAGCAGGTTTGCAAGTGATGCAAATGGCTCCTCTCCTGGGGTGCAGAGAGATGAGTGAACATGCTCTGTATCAAGGGCTGGTTGAGACAGGCAGATGAGCCCTGGTGGGGACACTGCGCCTGAGGGGTGACCACATACAAACAAGACAGTCTGGGGAAGAGCTAGCACTACAAGGCTAGGCTGGAGGCCAAAGTCCCTAGCAGCTGGGGCAGCAAGGAGACTTAGAGCCGCTCTGGTCTCACCCCCTGCTGACCCCAAGGTCCCCCATAGGTGAGATCCAGCCTATGGTGTGCTAGAGGCTCAGGCATGGAGGCCTGCAGAGAATGGCCTGTAAGTCTGGAAGTGGGCAGTGCGCATGGTAGAATGCCAGGGCAGGGCCCACCAACTGTGGTGGGGGTTGATCCTGGTAAGATACAATCCCTGCTCTGCAGCAGAAGTTGGTGTCCAAGGGGAACAAGCCACACATGTCTTGGGGCATTGGTTCCCACTCTGCCTCACTTGTATTTAGATGCTGCCTAAGCCATACCCACCCTCCTCCTTCATCTCCAGGTCTCTGCCGAGTCCCTCCACCTGCTAGGCTGCTGGCTGTGGTTTCACCACAGTCATAGCCTTGTGTGGTACTGGCCAATTCTTTTCTGTTCCCTGTGACCAGTGAGCCAGTCTGGTCTCATTACTTTTGTTTCTTTTTGGCCCTCCCCACTTCTTTATCCTTCCTCAGGGAGATGGCCACAACATGCCCTGTTCTGGGACATCTCCCACACCCCAGCAGGTCTTCCAACTCTGCCTGGCTCATGCCTAACCCTCCCAGGGTCCACAGCTGCTTACAGTTTGGTGGCTCCTTGGGTGACCCAGCGATGCTACCTGGTCTCCTCACCCACAGGGTAGTGTGCCTCCTGTCATGGCCTTCCACCTTGGCTCCCTGGGCTTCCTGACCCCGTTCAACTTTGAGAACTTCCAGTCCCAAGTGAACCAGGTGATAGAGGGTAAGTTGCAATGTTTGCAATATTCTAGATCCCACAAGCAGCACAGGGTTGCCCTCCTACTTGGTTGGGTTTTTTTTTTTTTTTTTTTTTTTTTTTTTTTTTTTTGTCTTTTTGAGACAGGGTCTCCCTATAGCCCCCAGCTGGCCTGGACTCACTCTGTAGACCAGGCTGGCCTCAAACTCACAGAGATCTGAGTGCCTGGCTTTGGTTGATTTTTTTGTTTTTTGGTCTTTTTGAGACAGGGTCTCCCTGTAGCCCCAGCTATCCTGGAACTCACAGAGATCTGCCTGCTTCTGCCTGTCCAGTGCTGGGATTAAAGGAGTGCGCCACCACGTCCGGCTAATATTTTTTATTTAATGATACAGTTTCAAGGTTTAGGGATTTCTAAATTTTGAGTGTTTCAAACACTTCTTACGAACATGGGAAGTCCAGCAACTCTGGGCTTCTCAGGACAGCTTTGGTGGAAGGCCACTGTTTTGGGAACAGAGAGGGGAAGGTTCCTGCTTCCTCAGGGGTGGCCCCAGCCTCCCTGAGATGGGCCCTGCTAACCACAGGGAATGCAGCTGTTATCCTGAGGAGCCGGCTGAAAGTCAGGGTGGTGAAGGAGCTCAGAGACAAGAAGACAACCGTCCACAATGGCCTTGGCAAGAACGGCATGGACACAGAGGGCGGGAAGCATGCCATGCAGTTCCAGGTCTGTAGACAGAGGGGATCAGGGTGGACTGAACTCAGGGCTCGGATCCCTGACACAAGGACAAGAAGCTTTTGGTGCCTCAAGTGCTGTGATCGCACTGGCCTTGACCTCGCTCCCTTAGTGCAGTGCCATGGCTTTGCCATCCCCTCCAGGTTTTGAACGAGGTGGTGATTGACAGAGGTCCCTCCTCATACCTGTCTAACGTGGATGTCTACCTGGATGGACACCTCATCACCACTGTGCAGGGCGATGGTAAGGCCCATGGCAAACCTGGGACCCCAAGAACTGGTTCCATATGGGTCTAAGAATGACACCTGCACCCTGTCTTTGCCAGGAGTGATCGTATCCACCCCGACGGGCAGCACAGCATATGCAGCCGCAGCCGGAGCCTCGATGGTCCACCCCAACGTGCCAGCCATCATGGTTACACCCATCTGTCCCCACTCGCTGTCATTCCGGCCCATCGTGGTCCCTGCAGGGGTCGAGCTGAAGGTCAGAGAAGTGCCCCTCTGTCTCCTCTGGTCTGTGTGTCTTTTGACCCTAGGCCAATAGAAAGTAGGTGCTGCTGCCTCAGCATCTGCCATCTCTACAGACCTCCCCAGCACCCTCAGATATGAGCCCTGCCTGTCAGGGGACCCAGGACCTGGGGCAGAAGAGCTTTGCATCTGTCTGTGGTTCCTGCTAGCACAGAGAACTGGCCAGCCCTCTATGCAGAGCTCTCAGCTGCAAGAGGTGGGAGTGGTCCATGTTGGGAAGGGATGGCTTAAGTGCCTCCATGTAAGGAAAGACCCCTGCCCAGGCATCTGCACAAAGCCTCTGTCCTGGCCTCCCAGTGCCCAGCCTCAGCCATGTTTTCTCCCAAGCTCTCCATCATAGACCACTCAGGTTAATCTGTCATTAGTATGAGTTCTAATCACCACACTTAACAGGAAGCAGCAGTTGTCCTTGCTGCAGCAAAGCGAGGCCAAAGCTGTGCATGCAGGACCTCTGGAGGACCCAGAGTAGGCTGGGGAATACCCCCTCACTGCCTAGGGCCTACTCTTGTTCCTGCTCTATCCCTTTAGATTATGCTGTCACCAGAAGCCAGAAACACCGCATGGGTATCTTTTGACGGACGGAAGAGGCAGGAAATCCGCCATGGAGACAGGTATGGAGCTGCAGGGTTGGGGCACGGGCTGACCGTGTCCTGCATCAGGTGGTGCCAGTTGCTAGTGGTTGGCTTATGACAAAGTGTGGTCATAGAGGTACAGTGGACTTTCAGCGAGGCCCTGGTCTTGTCAGGCACGCAGAGGCAGGGGTCCCAGCCTAGGCCTAGGGTAAGTCACCTCCAGCATGCCTGAAGGGGACAGGTTCACAGCTCTCAACCCACCCACTGCACAGTGCTCAGAGACCGCCAGCTGTGGGTCAGGCCGGCCCCAGCATATTCCTGGGCATATGGGTATTCTGCCCAGTGGCTAATTGGGGCCTCCCTGAGGACCTGGGATGGGCTAACAGAGCTAGTTATGTCTCTGGGCATCTACCAATCCTCATCCTGCCTCACCTGACCTCTGGACGTCAGAGATGTAGAACCAGGCTATCAGCACAGGGGGAGCAGGGCCACAGCTGTGGAACCTTAAGAGGGGCCTGGTCCAAAATGACTGCTTGCAGTCGGACAGGTCAAGGCCCTGGGAAGGGGTCTTGGCCTAGGGAGAGCAATTCGGTTTTGGGGAAGGTGCCGGGTTCACTTGGATATGTTTCTCTTTCCCTCCAAAGCATCAGCATCACCACCTCCTGCTACCCGCTGCCCTCTATCTGTGTGCGTGACCCTGTGAGTGACTGGTTTGAGAGCCTCGCCCAGTGTCTGCACTGGAATGTTCGGAAGAAGCAAGCTCACTTCCCAGAAGACGAGGATGAGAATGAGGATGAGGAGGACAGCTAGACCACACTTGCCAGGCTTGCCTAAGCCCTTGGGGGAGCCTTTCTGCTCCTGCTTTCCAGATGGCCCTCTGGCTGACCTGGCCTTGACAAGCCACATGCTGTCCAGACTGCTGCATCCTTACCTGCCTTGCAGGGAGAGCCTGGTTCTGCCTTTTTGCAGAACAGATCAGCTTTTTGATGTTTTTAAATCTTTCTTTTTCATTTCTAAAGAAGCAAAGTAAGAACTGGGCTGGGCATCCTGTACATCCCTGGTGGACCCGTCAAGATCCCAGGTCAGGAACTTCTAAAAATCAGTCCTTTGGAATTCTGAGGGTCAGAATGAATTAATCTGCCCTTTGATACTGAAATAAATGTCTCGGCCAAAAATCTTCCTTTAGCTGCAATGCTTTCCCCAGGGCGTATACTTTTTTTCTCTGCAATTCTTGGGGTCACCTGGTGGTTTTACTGGGGGTCAAGGCAGGCTTGCTTTGCTGGTTTCTGGAGATGTCCAGGTGCCTTGGTCTAGCCCAAAGCCTCCAGCTCCTCTTCCAGAGCAGTCAGAGGCAACCTGGCCTGGCCAACCCACATTCCACACACAGCAGGGCAGCAGCCCCTGGGACATTTTAAATCCTGTGTATACTTTTTAGAGATTATTTTAAACTTTCAGAAGTGCTTATGTACATATTTTCTTGTACACACTTTGTGAAGATTTAGAGGGACTGCCTGTTGTCCAGTGTTTACATTGTGTCCAGCCTGGTACAGACAGTCCAGGGCAGGGCTCTGGGCTTCCACTCTCTTGTTATACAGTGGCCACATGGACTTTGAGAACAACTCACTACTGACGCCAGGCCTGTGGGCCTGCACTTCTTCCACAAGAGTTAGGTTTGCAGCTAAGCAGCAGCTACACAGAGACCTGTATGCACCAGCTACATGTAACACAATTGCAGGTGGCACACAGGCCCTGGAACTGGCATGGAGTTTGGTCAGCCCAGGCCCTGCGTGGTCCTCCATGAAGGGTCTCAGGTATCTGCTTTGAGTTTAGATTAGCAGGAGCACAAAGGGAGGACTGCCCATTATTGGACTGACTTCCAGAGAGAAGGGCCTATGGGCTACTGGAGAGCTGGCCACCCTAAGCCGCCTTCTGCCTGTTAGTGTCAGGACCCACCATCTCTTTGGGCCCTGGTTGACACCTTAGCACCTGTGGAGCCCTGAGTGTGGTCTGGCTTCAGTGTGTGGCTTGTCCCCAAGGTCTGTGCTGTTCATGCATGACTGTGAGCCTAGCAGAGCCCTGCTGTGATCCAGAGAAGAGCAGGGTCTGGAGCTGGGTCATGTGTCTAAAAAGCAAGTATTGACAGGTCCTGAAGCAGCTGGTGGCAGACTGACCTGGAACACATGGGCGTTTTGACGTAAAATCTTGATGTTTCACATTGTTAATAAATTGTTGATAAAGGCCTTACTACTATTTTCAGATCCTTTCAATAAACTTGTTTTAAAAAAGTTGGGTTACGTAGCAGCTTTCTTCCGGCTCTTTGGAGACTCAAAGACATTCCACATGGCCCTGGATTGGCCAGATGCCCTCTTCAAAGGGATACAGCATGGTGTCTGAGGAGCTGGGGGCACAGCCCAGTCTGTAGAGCTGGGAAAGAAAGGTGGTGACTGAAGCCAAGGCCCACAGCTATGCCACCTCCCAGGGCTGGTGTCCTCAAGTCAGGCTGCACTGTCCCAGGAAGGACACGAAGACCAGAGGAAGTGAGTCCCAAAGGCCTAGTACCAGACACGCTGCAAGGGGGTAAGGGAGCCACATGGTCCAGGCCTATTTAAGTCAGGGGAGCTGCAGGTCAGGCAAATGTCTGCCGATGCCTGTCAGCCTGCTCCTGCATGCTGTGGGCACTGGCACACTAGTTTCCCCCATGTGGTGAGCACTAAATTTGTACACAAACTGAAGAAAACAGTAGGACCACTGGGTACATCCTAAGTTGCCCTGACCCTGCCTAGACCCCAACACAGGTCTCAGGACAAACACTGAGCCCTGGGCTAGTTGCCCCGATACACCCACTCTGGGTCATCCCAGGCCCCAGATGGCCGGCACCCACTCTGTGTAGGCCCACTCAACTTGGGACCATGACAGTGTTATACTGTGGGGTTGTTCACTTCAAGGCAGGCCCCCTGTACCTTTTACCTGCTTACTTCCTGGCCATGCACACAGGACCCTGTGGGAACTGATCACAGATTCAGTCCGAAGGATTCTGGTGGTCACTAAAGCAGCAAGCATGATAAGCTGCTGGAACACATCGTGTACCCGGGGCTTTCCCCTATGAAGGGGATTGTCTCAGCTGGGTGCCAGCACCTTTGGTCCCAAGGCTGCTCAGGACAGTGGTGTGTGACCACCCTGGGGCCTACAGCCAACTTGGCCTCCCTGTCTGCAGCCCTTCAGTGACCTAAAGCCCACACCAAGACCCAGCACTGCCCAGAGGCTCGGGGCCAAAGGGGATGGTTTATCAGGGGTCAAGGGCCTGCTACCAGAGCCATGCTCCTGGCAAAGGTTTTTGCTCGTGAACTCAACCTTCCTGGCTTTGAGAAGCAAACACGTGAGAGGGGAGAGAAGGCTGAGAGAGGCTTGACGCTGGTCCCTGGACCACTGCTGGGGGCCTACCCTGCGGCTTGTAGCCCTCAGGATAGCACCCTCAGAAAGTGTGGAGTTCAGGTGGCACCCAGTCCTCAATTCCTGAAAGCACTGGGGTTCTGAGCAGGTGGCACACCACTGCCTGGCCAGTCTTTGGCTGTAGTTGTCCCTCCCAGGCCTCTTACCACCTGCATCACCAGCAGCAGCCCTTGTGGGTCAGGTTCCTTCTATCACATTCTGTCCCAGAAAGACCCAGGCCAGAGCTCATCTGTAAACACTGAAAATGTTTTACCTAATGGGTAATCAGGCCAGTGTGGGGGCTGGGATTACTGTCAGGAGCTTCTACTACCAGGATGCAATTCTATAGAGGACAAGGGTTGACCAAGACAGGTGCAAAGGCTCCTTGCCCTACCTGCTCTAGGAGAAGCCCAAGGGACTTACTTACTACATGGCATGCTCCTGGCCATTTCCCCTAAGACATCCTGAGGACCAGGGTTCAGACCCTATTTGGGCTGGGCAGAGCTCACAGGAGAGCAGACATCAACACAGACTCAGAGACTCACAGACAGGGACAGATAGACATGAAAACATAGACACAGAGTCAGACACACAAAGATGTGTGCATGGAAAGATTCAGAGAAACACACAAGTACGCAAAGACACAAGAAAACAGACGTGGAGAGAGTCAGACGAATACAAAGACGGAGAGACATGAAGACAGACACATGGAGACAAAGATGATTAATCTGGGAAAGGGAACATTGTTGAATTGCCTCCATCAGATTGACTTTCGGCATATTTGTGGCATTTTCTTGATTTGATGGACGTGTCAGGTAGCATATCCCAAGGCAGATGGGCCTAACCTAAAAGCTGAGGGGTTGGAAAGATGGCTCAGCAGTCAAGGTCACTTGCTGCTCTTGCAGAAGACCCAGGTTCAGTTCCTAGCACCCACAACCATCTGTTAAGTCCAGTTCCACTGCCAGTGGATCCACTTCTGGCCTCCACAGGCATTGCATGCCCATGCTACGCTTACATACATGTAGGCAACACACTCATACACATAAAATAAAAAATAAATAAATCTAAAGAATTAAAGAATTTGTTTAAGCTAGCTGAGCAAGCCAGAGGGAGCAACTAGCACGCAGCTTTCCTTCATGGTTTCTGCTCCAGGGTCCTGCCTTGAGTTCCTGTCTCGACTTCCCTCGATGATAGATTAATCTGGTACATGAAATAAACTCTTTTCCTCCCCAAGTTTCTTTTGGTCATGGTATTCTGTCACAGCAACAGGAAACCAAACTAGGACAGAGACAGAGACTGAGAGACAGAAAGATGCATGATCGGACTCAGAGACAGACACATGGAGACATAACAAAAGACAGAGAAATACACAGAAACCGAAGACACAGAGACAGAAATGACACACGGAGATACTCAGAGACACACAGAAACATGAAGGCATACAGAGACTCGGAGACACATGGAGAGACATGGGGCGCTATACTGGCTTAGATGTGGTTGGAGTGTGTCCTCAAAGCTCCACGGTTGACATTTAATCCCATTGTTAGGTCAGAGGTGGTTGGAAACTTAACTTGATCCTGAGTTCCAAAGGAACTTTGGGAGTGGTGGAGGATTAGCTGCCAGGTGTGGCTCCCACGGTTGAATTCTAGGGGTTTTCTGAGAAGAGGGAGAGATGACACGCACTCACATGTACACATACATGCATTATCTCTCACCACAGTGTGTTTCAGGACTCTGTCCATGTCCCATTTGGCTCCTTGACCATGAGCCAGATGCTTGAGCCAAAACAAGCACTTTACCTATACTGTGACGCTGTGTAGCTATGGTGGACGCCAGCCACAACCAACACGCACAGCTGGGAAAGGCGAAGATCTTCCAGTCCCACCAAGGGCCCAGGAGGACACATCTGGTGGAGTGTGAGGTCCATAGCATGGGTTGGCCAGCCACATCACTTGCCCTAGCAACCTTAACCTGGACAGAGACACTTAGAAACACCCTTCCTTGTATAGGAACTGACCGGGCTTCTATCGACTCCACACCCAGCAGCTCAAGACTAGGCAAACCTGCAACTGAAAAAAACAGGACATCAGGGTCCTGTGTCCTGCCTGGCCCTCCCTCCACTCCCAAACTGTGTGCCCTGCCCACTTCCAGCGAGGGATAGCCTGGGAAAGGTGTGGGGAGCAAGCCACGCCCTGCTCTGCATCTCTATATCGTATAAAACTGTAGTTTTCATTGCTTGCTGGTGACTCAGTTTTACAGAGCAACATTTGGCTCCATGCCGAGCACAAATGCTGAGGCAGAATGACTTTGCATCTTGTTTGTGTGGTGTGCACCACCTGTCCAGCACCACCCATAAGGCACAAATTGATAAGTACCTTATCTATGCAAGTAAATATTACCACCAATGAACTTATCAAACACACGGTATATCAAAACCTTATCACAGAAACCAGGCCTGCGAACTTACCAAACACATCAGACCAATGAACAATTTTTAAAAACTCCCTGGGTCTGGGGGGCTGGAGAGATGGTTCAGCGGTTAAGAACACTGGTTGTTCTTGCAGGTTCAAATCCCAGCACCCACACAAAAATAATAATTTTTTTTTTTGTCTTTTTGAGACAGGGTCTCCCTGTAGCCCCAGCTGTCCTGGAACTCACTATGTAGACCAGGCTGGCAGCGCACACTACAGGGAGACCCTGCCTCAAAAAGACCAAAAAAAAAAAAAACAACTCCTTGGGTCTGAAGAGATGACTCAGCAGTTAAGATCCCTGGCTGCTCTTGCAGAAGACCCAGGTTCAGTTCCCAGCACCCACATGGCAGCTAACAACCATCTGTAACTCTAGTTCCAGGGGATCTGATGCCCTCTTCTGGCCTCCATGGATTTTGTACGACATAGGTACACTTACAGTCATGCAGGTAAAACACTAATGCACATAAAATAAAAACAAATATTAATTTTTAAAAATATTTTATTTATTATTTAAGGCCGGGCATGGTGGTGCATGCCTTTAATCTCAGCACTGGAGAGGCAGAGGCAGGTGGATCTCTGTGAGTTGAAGGCCAGCCTGGTCTACATAGTAAATTCTAGGACAGCTGGGGCTACAGGGAGACCCTGTCTCAAAAAGACCAAAAAAAAATTTTTTTTAATTATTTTTATTTTATGTGTATGAGTGTACTGCCTGCGTGTACGTGAGTGCACCTGTGTCATGCAATGCCACGGAGGTCAGAAGAGGGCTTCAGATTCCCCTGGAACTGGAGTTAAGGATGGTTCATAGTTGCCATGTGGGTGCTGGGAATCGAACCCGGGTCCTTTGCAAAAGCAGTCAGTGCTGTTAACCACTGAGCCAACTCTCCAGCCCCATAAATATTAATTTTTCAAACTCCTTACCTGGATCACATGATGCAGAGGGGCCCTAACACTGGGGTACAATGATTTCTTCAGATTTGTTTTCATACCTAATGCAGGTGTCACAGGTCAACAAGCAAGAACTCCTGACTCTGCCCAGGAGTTTCAGCTTAGCACGGTTGCCCTGTTTGATGCTGCCCACTGGAACTTCCACTCATTAGCAAGTTGGACCCGGTTCTGTGCCAGAGCAGCTCTGTGAGTGACTGGCTTCACTAACATCTGACCTCCTGCAGTGACGCATCTGTGCCCATGCTCTGCCTCTGTTGTAGGAAGGACCCTTTG